TTTTAGCCTAGTCTATCACAGCTATTCCTACACTAATTTTTTATTACTACAATTAAATTAGACCTCCTAGGAAGACAGAGTGATCATTGAATTATCTGATTTATATTTAAGTTTCAGTAACACAACTGAAAACTAACCAATAAAGTTCAAAATGCAAAAACGAGGTAATGTTCACGACCACGCCTGAAAATCTGTCTGAGTGAGAAAAGTGTCTGAGCGGATGCGAAAAGGGAGCATTGTTACGTCACTTTTTGAATTTTGCTGATTGGCCAATGTCACGAAGTAAACAAGGAAGTCGATGCTCGGGAAAAGGTCCATTGGTACGTAACAATAGAGACGGATAGACACTACTTGCTGCACATTTGTGAGGTGCAATTTAAACCGAGATTAGCCGACATCAGTGATTTTTTTATATTTCGAATATAAATCAGGTAGAAATGATGAAGGAGATTTAACCTTTTGTCTCTATTCCTTATGCCTACATGTTTATAAACTTAACCCTTTCCATGCTATTTTTATTTTTTATTAAATAATCGTATTTGCTACGCCGACTTTATGCATTTGTACCCCCACAACTAATCGATCGACTAACGAAAAAGTAATGATCCTCTGCTGCCCACTGACGGCTCGTTGGAAAGCTTATTTAAATAGCTTGCAATTGGCAATTAAAAAAATTTTTTTTTTCAAAAGGGGTGGTCTGAGTCACAAACCGGATAGAAAAAAGGCATTTTTTTTTCTTGGGTGTTGAAACTTCAAACCGTGATAAAAAATAGAAATATTCGCTAAATCCTTTACTGTTACCGCTTCTTGGTTGGCAAACAATAGCATAATATTGCTGTAGCAATTTCGTTATCTAACTCAAAATACTTTGGTAGATGGAAGGGATAATATGTCTTCTATTACCACCCAAAAAACACCGAAATTTGCATAAATTTTAAAAACACTCCTTCGTTCCGCCGCAAATAAAATTCCCATGGTAAACGAAAGCGAGATTTACCGTCGCTTATGTTAATCTCGAAGAAGACTTCTTATCAATAAACTAAAACCCGGAAAAACTAGACCAACAGTTTGCGACCGATTGCTAAATAAAACAGTGGAGTACATCAACGTACCCGCCGCAATCTAGCGAGTTTTGTCGTGGGTACGTATACGTGCCCACCGCACGGAAAGGGTTAAGGCATAAAGTACACATTAACGATCTCAAAATTGAGTTGTATTTAAAGGCAGTTCTTTTTTTCGTTAGCATATGCACCGTGAGTGTTTTTCTTTGAGAATTTGGCGCGCACAACCAAAAGTTCAGGAATAGTAAAGTTTTGGTTGCTTATTTCGAGAGTTTTTGTGAGTTGGTCTTTATGTAAATAGTAAGCGTCAAAAATTTTGAAAAAACATATAGAATCAAATTCAACACAAAAAATTTGACAAAACCAGGGGAAACACTTTGTGGGAGTGATGATGCCTCAGTATAGTACGGTATCACTCTGCTTCTGTCACGCGTGGCCTATTCGTTTGAGCCAGGGATTTTCGGTTACTGATGCCGATAACTTACTTACCGCTACCGGTACCGTATGTCGTATAAGGTAAGAAATGTATGGCAGTAGAAATACCGTACCGCTGTACCGGTAAACTACATAACGTGGGCTTCACGGGTTTGAATACAGTGCTTTGACAACCCCAGGGCTGTAGGGTAGACTGAGTACGGTACCGTAACTTAACGAACGCGAACTGGCGAACGGTAAGACTGTGCTGTCAACTCTTTACAAAATCGCCAAATCGTGCCTAATTGATGAATTGGTTAATACTGTAATAACTGAATAAGGTAATCTGATAAAAATACATGGTTTATAGATTATATTACCGTACAGTATTGGGACAGTGGTATGTACAGATGTATAAAACAGGTCAAATTTTTTTCCAGCAAAATCTGATAAAAACAACATTGTACTGTTGTAGCCTCAACTCCATAATTCCGGTAATTCATTATTTGTACGATTAAAATGTGTTTGCGAGTTTCGTGGCCCATGAAGGTTTTTGAAAGCCTAAAATTTCCAATGGCAAATAGGTCTAATTGCAATAGCCAATATGCAGAACTGTAATTTGAATATTGACATCGGTCAAAATCCGATCGGAACAGATCTGCAGATTGTATCGGATTGGAAATTATGTTAGATTTGTATTGGATTCAAACAATTCCAGTCTAATAAATAGTAATGATACTCAGCAAATCTATCTATGTCTCTTCTTTTGTTTTGGTAATTACTGAAGAACAAAAAAACGCTGAAATTACGGTTGCGTGTACAGTCAGACAGTGCATTTTTAGGTTGCACTTTTTTTTAGTTTATTTTCCAGTGCCATTTTGACATTTTGAGTCAAAATGGAGGCTCACACTGTCTCATAAAGGAGGGATTTGCCCTCACTGTTACAATTGATGTCATTCAATGTGGGGGCTATTCTTGGAATTTTCATGCCATACTGCTGTCCTGGTGGTAATGTGCATATTTTTACTGTATCACCACCTAATAAGCAATGTTACTTTTCATTTTAGATGTATTTATATCATTTAATTAAATTGTTATTAATTGCATAGAGTTATGTATAACAATGATCAACTAAATACCAAACTCTCCGAAGACTATTTCTGACGATATGGCTAAGCTTTTTGAATATACAGAGCGTGTGGAGAAGACTTATTACAATCATGGATTGTTTATGTCAAATCATCCTGTATTGATGATATGCATATCTGCAGTAGTTATGCTATGTTGCTGGTAAGTCACCATGACTTTTTAAGACAATTTCTCCTTATTTGTGCAAATCAAAAGTTTGGGATATTTTAAGGCAGATTTGCCTCTAATATATATAAATTTTTCATAAAATACATGGATAGAAGTTTAAAAATTATCTTAATAAGGTGAACCATGTTCTCTTGTCTCGTTTGGTTCCATTTTTCTAATGTATGGTCATGTCTGGTAGATTAAGCGATAGCAAATGATGGAGCATAATCTTTTCTTTTGGCGTGGGACTCCGGACCCAGCTAAAAAAACTGGATCGCTTGGCGCTAAGTCAGCTCTGCGGTTGGTCACTGAGTCACATGGCCAGCGCTCGAAAATATAGGAGTGTTTTTACTAAAATAATAGCACAAAACGTCTCTCCAAATGAGGAGTTAGGCTACTTGACGAGAGCTCAAAGTACAAAGTTTAGATAAAAAGCGCTACTCATCTCATCGGCTTGGTCCTAACTGCACAAGACGATCCATTCACCTTGTACCAATCACAGGACGTCATTCCCATATTTACACCATCTTGAAGTTTATAGATACAACATTCAAATTCCGTGATTTTAACAAACATGAATTCCGACATTGGGATTAGGAAAAAATCCATTCACCTTGTACCAATCACAGGACGTCATTCCCATATTTACACCGTCTTGAAGTTTATAGATACAACATTCAAATTCCGTGATTTTAACAAACATGAATTCCGACATTGGGATTAGGAAAAAATCCATTCACCTTGTACCAATCACAGGACGTCATTCCCATATTTACACCGTCTTGAAGTTTATAGATACAACATTCAAATTCCGTGATTTTAACAAACATGAATTCCGACATTGGGATTAGGAAAAAATCCATTCACCTTGTACCAATCACAGGACGTCATTCCCATATTGGCACCGTCTTGACGTTTATAGATACAACATTAAAATTCTGTGATTTTAACAAACATGAATTCCGACATCGGGATTAGGAAAAAGGCTATTCTCAAGTGCAATAGTTTAGAAAATAACTCAAGTTTTGCCAGTAAATACAAATATCTGCGAATGATTTAGTGCACGCTAAAATTGCTCTGCAGGTCGCAGGGAATGTGTCGGCGGGCCGCGGTTTGGACCACCCTGTGCTAGGCTATTGATATTCTTAATCTTTGCTTTTACAGCAGATGTTGCAGAAGTTTGGTATTTACTTTTTTATCTGGTATGAAACACTAATTACATATTGCTAGTTTCATTTCTCATATTGATTGATTATTTGACTTCTTCTGTTTGTGTGCTGGCAGCAAAATTCGGTAATAGGATTTCTGCTACTGCTGTGATTCTTGAAGAAGAAATTGAAATATATAAAGTACGACCATTAAAGTCTTTTTCACAATATAGAAAATGTGTAATTAGATTATCACTTGCTTGTAATTACCTCCTTTTCATTTTAGCTACCCCTTATTGAAATCTCCCTCTACCTGGAAGTGAGCCAACAGAATTTCTTACTCCTTTATCAGACTTCAGTCAAGGACTTACACAGCAGGAAAAAATTACCGTATTCAAGTCGTGATGTTCCGGTGGATTTACCCACAATGGGTTTGTTGTTTTTCCATTCTATGAGAATCTCCCCAAATATGGGCATGGTGGCCGAGCTTATCAAGCATTAGACTTATTTAACTGTGATGGTATCGCAAGGTAAAATGTTTGGGGTCAAATCCCATGCACACCACCTCACATATGGTGTAATAAATCGGGTATGCAAGGCCAAAATGGATTCCGGTTTTCCCAAAAAAGGTAGATTTTTCCATATCATTAGATATCAGTGCGAGTCCTTGTTCAAATCGAAAAGCCGTGATTAGGCGTCGCATAAAAAAAAAATTGAAACAGTAATAAGACAAGATGATACACCCCTGCATCACTGTTGCCACCACTCAAGCCTTATTTTCTTTAGTGATCGATTCCCTGCATCCTTTTTTAAAAACTATCTAAATTTGGATCTAATTTTAGTTATTTTTTCTATTAATTATGGGTGTATTGAATTTTTAACTAGGTAAATTTTATTTTCTGCATTTTATTTTAGCTCAAAAGTATTTGGTATTTAATATAATACAATAATTAAAATGCAAACCTTTTCTTTTTCAAAATTTCAGTTTGAAGCGGATGAAACAGGTTGCATATGTTCAACAATTTCTTGTTAAATCAATTGTTAATCCGTGAATGAAAAAGAAATGATATTAACTGATGCCATCGAGCGCCGATCGCAAAAATATTCACACTTTTGGAGGAAATAGAGAATTTTCATTTGGATGAAGAGTAAGTTATTTTTTTTCATTCTATTTTAATAAATCATTTATGTAAATAAAAAAAATTACCAAAAAAAATTTTTTAAAAGAAAAAAAATTCAGATATACCTTGGGCAACCTGTATGTGTTTGCCTAGCTTCGTTAGATAAATCTGATTTGTCCACAAAGATATTTTGAATTTCGAAATATATATATTTGTTTTCTTTGCTTGTTCATAAAAGTACATATTGACAGCTACTATTTCTGTATACATGAAAGAATTATATTAATATTTTCATTTTCAGATTTTGCGAGAAAATTGCTTATTTTTCATATATGCTGTTTAATGCATAAGACTGATGAAGTACAATGACTTCACAACTTGTATTACACATCATTTCACTATTTAGAAAATTGATTAGGCTATGGCGAACTGAAAAAATTTTGAACTGAATAAAACACGTTTTTATGTATCATATGCAACTGGGGCCTTGTTTGGAGAAGATTTACAATTTTATATTATTTTTACGAAGTGTATACAGTGAATGGCTACCGGGAACATAACATTTGTCCGAGGCCTTAGGAGAAATCACAAAGTGTCATGAAATGTATATTTATGTCTGGATGTCGACAACGGAACAAAATCACATAATTTAGAAATTATTTTTTTAGTGAATCTCACTCTGTAACGAAACGATGTTTGCATGTAACCGAAAGTATTATCAAGCCGAAACAAAGTATTAAACCTCTTTTTCCTGAGTATGGTTGTCTTATTCTATCTCCTGCGTCATTCTGGAAGAAAAAATATGCAGAATTTTCAAAACGATCAAAACATTATGTACACAGTACATAAGTATCAAGGAAAGACGCTGGAAACTTCACCGTCTGTAAAAGGTTGGTTCATCTTTGAGTGGTTGATTATTTTCTACTTGAGATATTTGATTAATCGTGGAATAACTGGGAATTTGTAAACGTGAGCAGCTTGATTCTGTATTCTGTTTAAGCTATGAGGATACTTATATTGAACTCACAGTCACAGATAAATGATTAGAACCTAATCCTAAATTATTCAAATATTTTTGGAATAAATTTTGGATTTGACGAATCAGGCGTTTCCTAAAAATGTCCATTCATGTACTGTTAACCAAAAACATTGTTTTAAACTTTTTGTTCAGCACTTTTAAATTCACAAATAAAAGAATCTTTATAACTACTATCGTCAGTATTGAATGCTTACAAAGATACCTGCACAAATTTTCAATCAAATTTGTATTATTCAGTTGCAATGTTTTCTATAAATCGTAAAACGATTTATGACCACATGATTTTTTTTTCAATTCCAGAGTTATTATTTGGAGTTCCATCGAAAGAAAGTGGTGTCAATAATTTTATAGTTAGAAATAGGCAGAGAGCTGTCACTTATGCAATAACATTGGTTCTAAAGACATATGATCACAGGTACTATATATTGCTTTTTAGTTTATCATTCATAATATTATATATCGTAACTATTTTTGGTTGACCAGAGGTTTTCAAAACTCATAATACATATACTTACTGTAATGCAAATCAACACTAAATTACAATAAAAAAGAAAAATGTTTTTATTTATGTGTAGTGTGTACATTTGATTATCATCATGCTTTTGTGTCTTCTATTGTCAGATGTACTTCTCTCTTGCTTTATGTGTAAATTTCTTAACATAAACAGATAAGAAGCGATTTTTTGGGGAAATAAAAATTGATATTTTGCAATCAACTTGAACTTATCTTGCGACGCTCAGTTTAGGAACCAAAGCCATAGATCAAAAGTAACGGCTGCATATCAGAGACCTAAAATTTACTTTTATACTAATTTTTACCATACAATTGGTTTTTGTGTGATTTAACATCTTCTCATAGCTTTGTTAAAGATCTCAGTATTAGCATATTCACAATATGAACATCATTATACTGAAATCCATTTGAAAACATCCAATAATTCCAGATAACTAGGAAGTCAATTTAGAATTCATTTCCTAATTTAAAATGATGTTTGTCATTAGGTGAAATGAAAATTTGCTCGATTGCAGCGCAAGCAGCAATATACAGAATCTAATTAATGACTTTCCCAAATACATTGTAAAATTATATTTTCTTAAATGAAATCTTAAATAGGCCAATATCAATAGTTATCAATAGGATAGGCATTGTTATTTTTATTTATTTTCTACTTTTACATTTTTCAAAATTCAAAAAAAAATCTATTTTTTAAATGACAAATTTTCAAATGAAATTCGAAACTATTCATAAAATCTAGTATTACAATATCAAATAAAACCAATTTTAAATATTCGATTCATTATAGATATATCTATGTGCTAGGTACCTGTTTCAATTTTTAATTACCGGTATGTTATGTTAATATTTTCATAGATTAATATCGGCACTAAGAAAGAAAATTCGATCATTATATCCAAGCAATATTCCTCATCACGGTGAAAAGAAATGCAAAGATGGGACAAATTGTGAGAATTCTTCTGACAGTGGTGGTGAAGGACCTCCTGTAATCACTCACATTCATTTCAAACCACAAATTGGATTTAATGAATTGATTCCACTTCTTTCTACCTATTTTATAATGGGATGCTACATCTACTTCTCTGTCAGTAAGTACTGTGATTTTACTTTATATTTTACCTAATTTTTAGAAGCATTTCTTTCCACCTAAACCCAAAATGAGTGTTTTTAAACAAGGTGTTTTTTTGGGATTTCAGATAATTGTATTTTGAGATCTTTTCTGTGAAATTTGCAATTTTTGTAGTGGGGTCCTCGTCTATTATCACATTTTCTACAAATTCTCTAATGCAGCGTTTCACATGACCTAATGGTAGAGAATTTTTCAGTTTACAATTACAATAGTCAAATCAATCAAATTTGTTCATATATCATTGTTGCAGTGAATTATTTGTCTGAATAAATGATACAAAATAAAATTTGGTCAAAATAGACCTTCAATAACTAATCTCGGTACTCCCTGCAACACTAGCATGTGTACCAGGTTAGGGTTAGGCCATTATTCCAGTTTCCAATTTTTCTTATTTTAGTCCTATTATGCCTTACGAGTTTGGGAACTGTTTGTGTTAGCCAAGTGAATTTACGCCCTGCCTACAGGCTTTGTCCTTTTACACAACTTGATGTAAATAAGGCGAACAAAATCAGTTACCTCCATATTGGTACACATACTTCTGTAGCGCCCTACTCATATTTTCATGTTGATTTTTGCTCCATTATCTTTACAATCAATGCATAATAATCCGCTAATACAAAATGCAATAATGAACAACCGGTAATCCGGCACACTGTGCAACCTTGAACCTTATCAATGCATAAATCAAATCGGAATTGAAATTAAATGCATGACAAAATTCTAGATGCGGATTTCTAAATTTAACCGCTCATATGGAACAACTAAATTATTGTTGCACTTTCACCCGCCAGAGTCTATTTGTATTGTGTACATTTCCCCATTGTTTGCTGACCTGTAGGCCTTGTGGGCTTTCGGTAAATGTCAGCCGGCATATTTGAAGTGTTTAGTGAGCAAATTGAACCATTGGACTGCACATTGCCCTTGTGGTAGCATTTGTATCAATTGTATGTACTGAGATTCTAATTATTATTTGTATAGTTTGAATTGAATATGAATGTTGTGACTATATATGATTGCAACGTTTCAAATTTCATAACCAAATTAAATGTTCGTCACACTTTTTCTATCACTTTCGTATTGTTACGATTGTCTATATGTAAATGATATTGTGTTCGAATTTTGATTCCATTTTTTTCTAACCGTTGGATGCAAATTTCGAAAATGACAATTTTTGGAAATAATATATAGGCCTACTGTAATTTTTTTTTTATTAAAAAGATAAAATTGGAAATGAATTAGTTAAATATTACCAATTTTTGAATTAATCCAATATTTGAGTCATTTTGTGATCCCTGAATGAAACAATACAGTACGTGGAATAAAAAAATTTATCCACTATCAAACATTACAGAATTGTATACTTAATTTGTACTTTTGTCATATATTATGTTCATTTCATTTGTGTATTCCAAAAATGGTCAAATGCATCGAATAGTCGAATATTTTTGAATATTTATATATTCGATACAAAAAATTCTTGGCAATTCAAAAAATTTACAGTTTACAACGGATAAATAGTAATAGGATAGACTTCACTTTTAACTTCCGATAGTAATAGAAAATTAATCTAAACAAAAAAAAAAATTCTGTTTCTTTTTTTTGATCAGGCATGTTAATGTTACAATGAGTGTACACCAAATGCTTAATCATGTGTAACAACTACAATCGCACGTATACTGTATACATAACTTAGTCATTGATTACTTATTTTAAACTTATCATGTAATGTATTATGCTATCAATGGAACCACCGCCGTCTGTTTATTTTGAAATTGATCAAGCATGCATTGGAAGGCGTCTACAAGTACTGTTGCATATAGATGGAACATTTCCTAGAAAGTTTGTTTTTGACATTGGACTTTGTACCTAGTGCTAAAATCACACCATTTTGAACATCACATGACTATGATGACAATTTGCTTAGTATCGCTTGAGTAAATAGTATAATCATATTTATCAACCCTAAAATTTTAACTTTGTTAGTTCTGGCAACGGAACTTTTTCAAGTATTACTATTTTACATTTCTCCATACTAGAACTAACAAGTGCTATCAATTTTAAATGTTTACTCCAATGGAAATGTTATTTGTCATATAATATTCATTGTCTTGTCCTAAAGGTTTAATTCGTTTTATAAGTCCAAAGTCCAAAAGTTTTTTTTACAATATTTATTCTTTTAAAAAATAACCGAGGATAAAAGTTGTTGAATCGATAATTTATTTACCGGTAGTTCAATTTGCACAAAAAATTTTATATGATATAGCCTACCGTATATTACCTTGAATAATTTTAAAAATTATTATTAAATTACAGATCCAGAGATAACATCTACGACAGTTTCTTTTTTTTACTATTCAATGTTGTATTATAACTAATCACAAAACAAGAACAGCAACAACAAATAACAAATCGATCCATATGTACATTTCATGTCCAATAATGGTTTTTATAATATTTCATGTGCTGGATTTGCAATCAGCTCAAATCCCATGTCCGCCACTTCACTGACGGTGTAACAAATGGATACACAATAACTGTAGAGATTCTGTTCTCCTTATTTGGAAGGAACATGTAAAAACTCCAAAAAAATTATGCTAGTACAGCCAATCATTTCGGAACATGCTCATTTTCAGGAAAGATCAACTTCGTCAAGAGTAAGCTTGGAATGGCATTTTCTGCTGTTGTTAGCATTATGGCTTCACTCATGATGTCCGTTGGTTTATGTTCGGTGTTTGGACTCACACCTACATTAAATGGAGGGTGAGAATGTTTAATAGTGTAATTGTATAAACTGCTGGTGGTATGCCAGGGTATGCAACAGGCGGCCCGTGGGCCACGACCCAACCTGCCAAGCCAGTTAGTGTGGCCCTTGTCAAATTCAGATTTTTTCTGACCAAGCATAGAATTTTAATCCAACAGTTTATGTTTGAAAAGGCGCTCACATAGGTAAAAATTCATAATATTTTTTACTCTTGTCGCTGCGTTAAATCTTTCCCTATTTTGCCCGGTGCCTTTGCACTGTGAGGCTAAAATTTAGCGGTATTCTTTTCTCTTGTCAGCTGACTGAACAGACTTCTGTCAAAGCTGATGTCAACAAACTATGCAAGAACTCGAAATTTTGAGTGTCCCACCAAAATGTTAAATAAATAAAGAGAATTTTTTCATTCATTTTGTACATGGAAAAACTAAATTTTTTGTGCGGTCCCGCTAGATCTGTGGTTGGTTATATGGCCCACCGACAAAAAATGTTGCACACGCCTGGTATATAGTTTTGGTCTATAGAAGATTAGGGAACTCAGACTCTCGTACAATTTTCAACACATAATATACATGTATACTATATGATGAAAATTGTATGAGGCAATACTCAAGAGAGTCTTACTTTCTGTAATCCAAGCCTTTCTGTTTATTAAGTCTCATTAACTTGTGAATACATTATTCATATAAGTACAGTATGTTTAGATTAGAAAATCCATTTATATATTAAATCATGAAATTGCTTGTTATAGTTAAAAGGATTATAGATATGTTTCAAATTTTGAAACAGTAGTTCCCAAATCGCGGCTTATGGGTCAATCACGGCTGGCCGAACTTGAGTGAAATAGTTAAACACTCTGTTCTATCTTTTTTTACGTTCTAAATATCAATTGTTACGTCATTTCCACAATTAAGCACGTGTATATTCGTAACGAATCAATTGTACCTGTATCTTAATTATACATGCCGGTATCGGCCCCTTGCAGGCACACTCCTCTCACAGCTTGCAAATATCCTTCCGCTTCTAATTTTGGCCCCCTGTCAATCAACTTTGGGAACCACTGTTTTAAAGTCTGAATGATTCAAACGAGACCGAGGTCTAATGATTTATAATACAAAACTCTTGAAAACATGGAATAGTCATATTTATTTTTGCCACAGCCCACAGCATTCTTGCATTATGTGCATTCAGGAGAACCCCCAGCACGAGGACATAGATTAATGATAGTTTTTAGTCTCGCATAGCCAATAGCTACAATTTGGACTCAACTTCAGACGTGACCCGACTTGACTCAGTTCTAGGGATTTGTACATTACACTGTGATTATTGATTGTCAATGAAATAGAATAGAAGTAGAATTCATCAAAGTCCTTTTTTAGGGTAAAATGTATTTTAAATATTTTTTTTTGCAGAGAAATATTTCCTTATCTGATTATTGTAATTGGACTTGAAAATATATTGGTGATCACTAAATCTGTAGTTGCAACTCCGATACATCTTGAAGTTGACAAAAGAGTAGCTTTGGGATTAAGTCGTGAGGGCTGTTCCATCACAAAAAATCTTCTGTTGGAACTTGTTTTAATTGGCCTTGGATATTTCACATATGTTCCAGAGATACAAGTTAGTGTTTGTGATTAATTGTTCTTCTGTTTTTAATATGATTTATAACTAGTAGGGTTATCTGTGTATGTTCCGTTTTTCTTCTATACTGTGTCTGCCATTAATTTTAATTTGGAATATTTTAGATTATATTCAATATTCGAAAATATTTTTTTCAGAATCATTCGGAATAGTAGAATGATGAAATCATGCCATTTCATCTAAATATTACTCATTGAAAATTTTACAAAATATAAGATTTTTTTCATCTTTTTATATTCTCTTTTTTTCTTTTTCAGGAATTTTGTGCATTTGCCGTAGTTGGAATACTCAGCGATTATTTTATGCACATGATATTCTTCACAACTGTTCTTTCCATTGATATAAGAAGACTCGATATCACAGAAGATATTTATAGTCAACCAGATGGAAGCGAAAGCGAAGAAGAAGCCTGTAATCAACAACAAAGAACAGGAAGGGAAAATGGAAGAAGTAGTTCTTGGCCGTTCACTGACCGAAGATGCACCAGTGTGTCACCAACAAGAACGAAAAGAAAACGATCAGTTCTCGAACAGTAAGTGCTTAGAATGATTCGAATGTTTGGTGATTTTGGTGTCTTATTTTGTTTTACCAAGGATAGTTTACATCAGCGTTTCTCAATCTGTGTTCCGAGTTTCTTCGGAGTGTTCACAGAACAGAGATCGAAATTGTGACTAAATTAGTTGCCATGGCGATCTCGGCCCTACTTCGGCGACTCTGGGTCGAAAATTTGTCTCCTGACTGGCAACGAACAGGCCTTGCTATTTAACCAAGTGGAAAGGCCTCATGCCAGTCTAGAAAACGTGGCGTTTTCGTTAACTGTTCAATTAACCATTTTTTTGAAACCAGCAACCAATTTCACCTTCTAACTTCTCGGTGTTCCTCGAGGCGAGATAAAAAGCGTAGTTGTTCCGGGACAAAATAAGTTATTCCTATCCCCTATAGTGAAGTTTTATAATTAGGAGACCTGTTTTTGTGATAATTTTGAAGCCTTTTTTATCGATTTTATTACTGATTCTATATCTGACCCTCCTCTGGCAGTTACAAAAATACTATATCTGACCTTCCTCTGGCAGTTACAAAAACAAACTGATAGGTGTCATCTATGCTACTATTGTTCCATTAGAACATGGATAGCTATAGTATGCTCAATTGTGACTCATGTTCATTCATTCACTAAGGATTATTTTTTCTTTTGAATCCAAGTTGAATCCAATTAGGAATCTCAGCTTAAAATGGTATCAATTTCTGTATTAAATGGTATAAAGTGTAATTAAAATTATCTTTCACATAAAACACTGAACTTGTTCTAAAAATGAAGTCCTCCCGTATATATATCTATGAAGGAGGCCCTAATCTGCTGTCTGTATACGGCGCACTAGCCATCTAGTAAGAGGCCACTCAATTGGTGATTGGTACGCTTTATCAACTCCTTTTCCTGAATGTATTTCCAATTTATGCTTTACAAAATTCTCAATCTTTTGCTTTGTTATACATTCGACTCTATTAATTTTAATTAGAAAATCACTTTTTTGTTTCACCTTTTTTTTTTAGTCGAATTAGTATGTATAGTCAATGACAAACCAATCATTCTATTCTTGTAACAGGCCCCTATATGGGAGTTAAACATCTATAAACAATTCATCTTTCTTTCAGCTTGAGAGCATCTAGCAGACGAAGGCGGAAAGATGGAACGGATACAATTCATAAAGTTGAAACTGGAGGCAAAAGCGTCACAATCTTGAAAATTCCTAAAAGACTGAGAGTTCTTTTCTTCTGGGCTGACACACGGATGGTACAACGTGGTCTGATGGTAAATTATCTTTATATCCATATATTTTAGTAATTCAGGAATATTTCGAATTAAATAACCTTAGCGATGTAATTCATACCAAATTTTAGTTAATTTGGAAAATTTTAGATGAATCCTGATTTGGCTGTCAAACACCTTTTACAGAAAAAATATTTTGTAATTGATAACCTTTTTTTTAGATTTTACACAGCTTTTCCTTGTTATTAATGCACAATTCATGTAGTATTTCAGAATGTCCAGAGTTTCAATATTTATATTTTGTCAGTATATAGAAAAACGACAATTAAATTTCAGTGTTCAGTGCTAATTAAAAATAATTTACATCTACAGGTGTAGAAATTAAATTATTGATCTGCAATGATTGATACATTATTAAAGTATATATTTGGTTCAATAATACTTCATTTAAATGCTTTACAAGCATAATTTGAACTTGGGACTTGGTTTTCCGTTTTTTTTTACGGTGACTAGATGAAAATAATCATATTTAGATAAAGACTTTGAATTATTTCGAAAAACGAAAAATTCAAAATTTTAACTATTGCCTATTGAGAATATCATTTGCATGCTGCATTTGTTGCACTATGAATTCATTTGCATGGTACATTAAGTGTAAAATGTGAATTGTAATTTAAAACATTAATTTAAAGCATTGGCTTTATGACAATATAAAACATTTCAAGATTATCATAAAGAGTAATTTAGATTGTACTTTTCATCTGTCAGTATCATGTTCATTTTTGTTTTACAACCTGTTTCATATTTAAGGTGTTTATGGTGATTTGGTTTGGCCTTCTAATATATGGTGATCCTTTTGGAAATAAAAGTACTGTTCCGGTCACACCAACGCCACCTCAGTACAGGACTGCAACACTTGCACCTATACCAGTACCTACCAAGGAACCGTTTTCAATTTTTCAGCAGGAGAAGAAAACTGTAAGTATAATCATAATTAGTTTTTTGATTTATTTTTTCAATATTTTCAAATTCTTGATAAAAAAAAAATAATTTTATTTGGAAATATTATTTTCTGCAATTGAAGTCAGCAGTATAATTGCCTTCTTTAAAATTTGAGAGATGCAAACACATAAAACTTATCATCAAATCATTGTATATTTTCATTATTTTGCATTTCCAAATTCAAATTGATTACCGAAACACAGACTTCTATGTTCCTATGTTGAACATGATGTCAAGTTAGAACATATTCATTATTTCATCTGTGAAACTGTCGGTTTAAAATATTTTTGGAATAGTTTGTTATCTGATTTTTGGCCATCTTTGCTTAGCGCTTTTGACATTTTATTCAAATGATGTTTTTTCATTTGTTCAAATTGAATTGTTGCCTTGTCAACGACTTTATAAAGATGATATCCACAATCCTTATTTGGTTGCAAAATCCAATGTGTTTAAACAGGAGAAATCTTGACAAATAAAGTTTATTTTGTAGGTATCATTAAAATAAGCTAAATAAGCAATTTTTAAGGGGGGAGTTTTTTTATTTGCAAAAGTCGTTATTAAAATGCACAAGAACACAGTTGTGATGAGTAAATCAGTTTCAAATACATAATTTGTAAAGTGAAGTTTGTGAAGTAAAAACACACGTTCAGCTTTCAGATCTGATTAGGTTGCAAACACATACTGAATAAACATGAAATGCCACTCTATTTTACTATTTCTACTTCGCAATATTTTTTCCTCTTGCAGAGAATACCAGAACCTGTTGATGATCATGGGAATTTACTTTGGTCACAAAATGATTTGTTACTCTATCGAAGATTGTCATTCAGACATTGGCCAACTCTATTTGCGTATTATAATTTAACCCTTGCAGGAAGGTAAATGTCATTTTTAATAAAATTGGTCTATTTTGTAATGAATTTATTACGGTAAATATTTTAGTAAGAAAATCTGATGTTTGTCCGCAGACGCAGAGCATTGCTATTTGTAGTAAAATTCTTTTTCAACTTTTGAGCATTATATATAGGTTTAGATATTTTAAAAAAAATGAGAGCTTACGGCACATTAGACTAGGTATGGGTAATTCAGATTAGCTTACTATTCTAAAGATACATAATTCTATATTGTGTACTCCCGTAGTATGTGAACCAAGATGGCGAACACCGGAACAGTATGTGTAAAAGGTTAGGGTTAGGCCATAATTTTTTTCCAATTTTCCTTATTTTAGTTCTATTACGAGTTTGGTGACTTCTGTAGTATTTGTACCCGAAATTATGGCCTAACCCTAACCTGATACACATACTACGTTGGTACGTTCCGGTGTCTGCCATCTTGGTTCACATACTATGGGAGTTCCCTATATTGTACATATTCAATCCATAATAAGCAATCTTTTATAAGATTTCAAATGGTGTTGCCCAACAAAAAACGTTGAAAATTGAAATAATGAAATTAAAATTGTGTTTTAGAATCCTTGGAATTGAAAATATTGGCTTGACCATTTCTATCTAAATACTACTTTTAAATCAGTTTTTTCAAGGCTGACGGAAAGTTTAAATTATTCTGATATAAACATCTTTATTAATAAATGATATCACATTTCATTTTCGTAATGGTTCTTACCCAGGTCTTAGAAATCATAATAATGTGGTATTGAGAATTTTGAACGCACAATTTTCTGTACTTGTTGAAATTTTGAAACTCTGCATAAAAACGACATCATATTATTTATCATTGTGATATGAAATAATCTTGGTTTGATTTGTCATTTCAATACTAATGTTATTACCATTTAGAATTTCATCAAGCTTATATAAGAATCATTGTAGTATTAAACTGATTTATATTTTAAATTTAATACAAGAAATTTTTGAAACAGTAAATTTGCCGCAGAATATGTCTTCTTTATTCTGAATGAGTGCAAAGTACATTGCTATTAGCATTGAGCAACTTCTCTTAAAAAGTAAAAAAAGAATAGGTCCTAATGCATCACCCTTATTTTGCATAGTTTCGATAGCATTTGGCACTCTAGTTTTGTTTGTAAATTACCGGGTAATGAGTCTGCTTTACTTCTGTGTGTATACACGACCTTGCTTTGACAAATTTTCGTAAAAAATGTAATCATTATTTTATTTCTTGTAAAATTTATGATTTAATTATAAAATTTTATGATTAATTTCCTTTCGTATATATTGAGGTCAAATATTTACCTTGATAACAGAAGTGTTGAACTTGTTTAGAAGTTTACATAAATTTTATCGGTACTTTGCGTGGCGTCAATTAATAAATATAAATAACAATGTAGGTTAACAGTCATGTGTCTGTGTGCTAGATTACAATAGTCAATTAAAAAGTTATTAAATTTGAAAAAATAGGGTTAATTAACTATATTTCAGTGTTTTCAACACTCGTTGAATAATATGATAACTAGAATTCGGTTGGAAACGGAAGACTTATCGATCGAAGGTTATGGGATACCCCAAAACAGTGGTCTTACTCCATAGTGACAACGTGTGTCCCATCACTAATTAGTTAATAACTCGCTAATTATACGACATAATCCATCCAAAATCAATAGGCTTCTGATCCGAGCTAAGATGAATGCACATGCAAAATTTGGAGCAGATTGAACCTCGCTTTCGTGAGATATCGCGTGCATCTAGCACACAGACAAACAGATATACAAACAAATACCTATCAACATACTTGGCGATCAAGATCGATAAGTAATAATACAATCCTTACAAATGCATACCGACTCAAAAATAAGTTATTCTCAGAATATTGTGATTTGACTTTTTTTCAAATTATTTTCAAGTCCAAAACTCAACTTCTAAATAAAGGTGTCAACCGAAAAATATGTTATTTTCAGAATTTTGGAATTTATTTTTTGTATTTAATAAACTTTGTCACTTTGTAATGAAATTGTTATTTTTTTTATGTTTTTATATAGCTGATTGTTATACACAACAAATATTTTGGGTGTCACCTTAATAAGGTTATTATTGCCTGGTACGGCCATGTACCAATTCATGTGCTTGATAGCCTAGCATTAGAAGCATCATACTAAACTGTCTCAGCCTCACTGGTTACACATCTTGGATTTGAATGCCCACCAAATCCATGTTCCTCTAAAAATAGTGGCTTCCCCCTACACATTGTTCGAAGCAAAAGGAGTGAATTTTTGAGCGTTTTTTAATTTTTTTTTTTACAGATTTGTCAGTATTCTACCATCTATTCCACTCACTGTAACCATACATCCAGATGACGCAGTAAAATCAAGACATACTTCGGAAAGCTCAAAACAAAATGAATTATCTCAAGCAGGTAATTAAAACTAATGATTATGAGATTTAATTTACTTATTTATACCAGAATATTGATAGAAGCTAAAAACAACCTCATGCCAATAACCAGTCCAAATTCGCTATGGGTTAGAGATTCTTCTCTTACGTTTTCATGATGACTTTATTAATTCTTTTCATATTCTTACGATTTGCTTTTAAAAAGAATAGCATAAAATAACAGATAATAATAAGTTAGTCCAGGTTATTTGCTACAGTGTAAGATATGTAAGTAACTGTAAGATATAATATTATCAATATTTTTCAACAGACTCATTTCATGCTGACGATAACATGAGCCAACAGTTTCCTCCGTATTCATACACTGGTCGATATCCCATGACTGGACTCGATTATTATCTCACTTTGTTACTGGGAGCTGTATCAGGTAGGCAACGCAGTGATTTTAGGAAAATTTGCTCAAAGCAGATTACACTCACTCACAGGAGACTGATGATCTCTGAGTGAAATTGCATGCGTCCATTGAATTGTCAAGGGATACTAACTACTAACATACGGAGTTAACGCTGGAAAGTTTATCTGGAGACACTGGGGTTAGGATTTACATATTTATCCCGGGGAGAGGAAAGCCGTTAAGGTGGCTTAATCATATGTCGAAACCTGGCTTCATGTCTGGTTACCAATCCAGGTTGGTTAGCCGTTTGTTTGTTTTTGTTTTCAGATGCATTTACTCTATGATGGAGACCGGTGGTTACGTGAACCACTCTATGGCAGTGGGGAGTCCAGCAAACCTGCCACACCTAATTTTCCCCCCCAGGATTCCAGCCTGCGAACTCATGCAGGGTATTCAGTGGGGCGTCAGCAAGCGTATTCCTAATGCTCAGATTAGCACAATACGTCACACTGCCGAGCCATCCTTATTTAGTATAGCGTTCAGTCCTGCTATTTTTAAAATTGCCCGAATCTTCCAGTCATGACCACACGATGAGTGAGGTAATAAGCATAGATTTTGGACCAGATATTTTAAACTTAGGATGCTTTTGAACTTTTCTTACCAACAAATAAATTAACTTTATTTCAATTTTATTCAGGAATGATGATGGTATTCTTATTAACTGTTATGTACCGATGCATTTGTACACGTAATTATGCCAACTGGAGAGTAAGAGGAAAATTAAGAAGACAACGGGGAACAGCAAAGTATACTAGCTCTATCGGAGAATCAATGCCGCTAGTATTGAGTGGACACCCACAGGTTAGCTTTTTCTATAACTAGGACTGGAGTCTGGGACATTTATACTTGAGTCCTAACTTGGGCCGCTTAAAAACGACTCAAACTCAAACTCGAGTCAAAGTTAAAGCCAGAATTTTTGTCAACCCAAAGTAGAGGGTCTTTTTTGAGCGGCTCAAATTTGGACTCAAGTATGAATGTCCCAGACTTCAGCCCTAAAAAATTTTGACTTATGCTCGAACTTCAAAAAAAAAAAAAAAAAAAAATGATAACGAAAACTTCAGCTTAAGTGAACCTTCTTTAATTGTGTGTTGAGAATGCTTAGTCAATTTATGTTTTTTTTAAATTTTTGTCAAAAGTTTTGACTTTGGCTTTCACTATTATATTTAGATATTGCGACACTGCAAAATTCAAAATTATGTTTCTCGACTCCACGGCAATGTCTAGCACTTTTAATTAAAAACATTCAATCAAATTCAAATCAGTTGAATATTAGATTTTGCAAGTGTATGCAGATCTTGATTGATTGTTCTTGAGATAATTGGGCAACTAATTCTTGTCATGATTGTTAGAACGTGCAGATGGCTATGTTGTTGCGCATGTATGACATCTTATTCAAATATGTACAAGTTCAGGTTCCTAAAAAAATAGTTTTGTATCAACTGTTTTGAACATTTGCTTTGAAATAGGCTCTGAACAAGCTGCCACTGAACCTTATTAAAAAAAATTTTTGGGGGGGAAAAATGGAAGCCTCCCAGTTGGGCATATCTTATTTTTTTTTACAATGGGAATAAACATATAGTGATGGTTATCAGATCCAAATTCAAAATTTGCAGGATACCAACGAATTTAGTGATTTTATATTCAAAATCATTCACAAAGAATGGTAACTCGGTGGTTTCCAAAGTGTACATTTTCGAAGCTGATTCTCTTCTAAAGGCCACTACTGTGATTCCACTTTGAGTAAAATCGTATGAAAAAAATATATGTCTAGATATCAAACTCAAAGCTTGGGGTATTGATGCTTTATTTGTGCAGAATAAAAATATTCGCATATACACTAATTCGACTTTGCGTCTATCTGACATAATTTAATACAGAACACATAATCAATCATCTCTTTCATTGTCACAATTTGAATTTAATCTTGAAGAGGTAATATTGATCTACAATGTCATATCAGACGTTACGATGGTATAAATCAATTCATTGATACAATTGTGAATTGAATATATCAGGGGTGCACAACTCAAATGAGGATACATGCAATAGTTTTCAAAATAATCTCATCGCTTGCCACACCACGTTAGAATATTGGTTGGTATTTTAAGTGAACTTCCTTAAAACACATAACAAACTTTAATAAAACTCATATTAATAAGAAACGATTTAATCAAACAATTTAATTTCATGAAAAAGTTTTTGACGGCAAATTAGGTTGATTTTGATATAAACACGAGTTATTAGTATTTATTTCAAATACAAAAATTAACTTTTTTTCAAACGGATATCTTCGAGGATATGACATGCCATATTGGGTCGTGTACACTGTTTTTTCCACCCCTGATATTGTTTTGCAAGCCTACTCATTAGAGTACCTCACTCTGAATTGAGTATATCGTGCTGTGTAGTTGGAAAATCAACTCAAGTCAAAAAATAATCCCTTTTTCATGCAATTTTGTCTGACTTTTTTGTTTTCAATTTCAGTTGGTAGAATGTATCACATGTGAAGATGGATTACTGGCTTCTACAGATCTGAGTGGTGAATTGAGAGTTTGGGATATTCATACTGGAGATTGTACTTGTGTAATACACAGGTAAAATTCTGGGAAATGTCATCTTTTTTCATTATAAAATTACTTACAATCTCTCTCAGTCAGTACGAATGAGTTCTTGCCGAATTTTGTTTATGTCAGAGACGTTTGATTTTTTATACAAAGCATATTTCTTTCTTTCCCTTCAAGCCAGGCCCTGTAGAGGCAGCCACTGATATATACTGATGGTGATGAGCTCATGTTTTGAACTACAGAGGCTCTCCGCTTCGTAATTGCCTACTTACTTTATCATATGCTGTGTGAGGTGCTAGAATGTAGATTTGAACCCAAGGATTTTTAACCAAATGCTTCAACCACTTCGGTCCCACAAAAAACATGATTTACATAAAAAACTGTACTTGATTGATAATACTTGTCTTGTGTAGCTGCCCTGATATATAGAAGCCCAATACTTCTCTATGGATGAGGCAATTCAAATTCTTATCAGGCCCACAGCTGTCTTTTTTTATTTTTAGCATTTTTATAACAAACTTTATAAAGATGTTTGCAAAATGATCGCCATTTTTTTATTTGGACTAAGATATTTGAAATGATTTGAAGAACGAGTCTGCTAAAAACAAGCCCTAAAATCGAACTGTATATTTGGTCAAAGGATCTACTCGAGGGCCAAATGGCTCATCGTTTGGGTGTTATATATGCTTAACTGTTAAACATTACAAACTAGAATTCCAATCCTTGGATATCAGTGGCTGCTTGTACAATACTGGTATCCGGTGCTGAACGCACAAATAAATGCAATATTGAAAATAACGATTAGGACCATGATTCCTATCTTTTTCAATATTCTTTCATACTCCAGGGTACAAACTCCAGTACCGATACGAGACCCAGCGGAAGGAGCAATTGATGCCAAGCCTACACCTGTTGGTTATCAAGAGAAAGATAAACTGGTGTCCCCTTTCTATGTTAACCCATACCAACCACCTAGAGGTAACTTTTTTATTTTGGTTTATTGATTATCATGAATTAAAATTGATTACCAATAACTTACTAATTTGGAAAATATTTTTTCAGATATGCAAGACTTTGAGATTGCATCATCAATGCAAAATTTTCCAAAGTTTTATATCGAACATGGTGACAACCAGCCAAAAAGTGAGTGTTATATCAATTATTTTGCAATTTTCACATAATTTTATCTAAATTATGTTTGTCTAATGAATCTGATTCAAATTAGAGCCTTTTATGTCACTTTTTCACAGAAAGAAATTTAATTTTGCTCATATTCGAGATACGAAGGCAGAGTGGTTATAAACTGTGCATTCTGATCAAAACAGGTTTGCGGTTTATTACGCAGTAAAAAAAAGGTTTTCTTGTCTGTATGTTTAATATTTACAAAGGTTTCAATCAACCTCATTTTTCAATGAATTTCAGGGTGAAAATACCAGGTTGTTTGGTTACAAATATCCTGGATAAAAAGTTCTTTATTTGTAACTATTTAAGGCACCACCATCTTGGTTTTTAATTTTATGTTATGTATTATACAGAAGGCCACAGCAGACAGCGTTCGTGGCATACAACACCTAAATCCAAAAGAACTCATCATAGGAGTGGTTCTGGAGGAAATATCGTCATTGAACCTAAATATGACATGACATCTCCTGATCATGCATGGGCATCACCTTTTACACCCGATATTATAAACGTTCGGCCTTCCATCCAAACTAATTTTGCAAGTTTGGAAAAAGAAAAATCTCAGTTAAGGAAAAGAACTGGACCAGCGAATGATGCGTTAGTAGATGATTTTAACGTTTTCTAATTTTCATTTCGCATATAAGATGACCCCCTGAAACGTCGCAAATAAAACCGACCCTACAAATCGTAACATGTCGTACGAGTTGTAGCTGTTGGAATTAAGTTAGCATAATGTCATTTTGTTTGAGTGCGATCAGAGTTATGCGGGTATAAGCCAAATTTTTAGTGCAATCAGAGTTTTGAGTGTATAGGCCGCCCCTTAATTTGGCAACTTTGTCCTGGAATTTTGAACTCGTAGTATATGCGAGGATATACAGTAGCTTTTTACACTGTCACTGCTGTTTTGTTGACCAAAAGTACTATTCAGACCCATGTAGATAAAATTGAATTGAGATGGATGAAATTTACTTCTAGATCACAATTTTAGGAGTTTTGACTTCAAAAACTGAGGCATTTTACGAGCCTTATTGAGTTGAAACTTTTTGTCCAGATTTGTGAAATTTTACCTCAAACCTGTCTTTTAGAGAGTTCAGAATTTTGAGTTTAACTCCCTAGTTAATGCCAGTTGTAAGTTTATTTTAACAAATATATATCAACTCTGATAAAGCATGGTATATTGTTATTTATCCCTGCTTTAGAAAATTCCTCCTAATATTATTTTTGTCTTTATTTGCAATATGGGGCTCCCGAAGTATGCGAACCAAGATGGCGGACATCGGAATGTAATATGTGTACTAGGTTAGGATTAGGCCATAATTTTAGGTATAAATACTACGAAAGGCTCTTGGCTAGTCTTCGAACTGATAATAGGAAAATTGGAAAAAAATTATCGCCTAACCCTAACCTGTTACCCATGTTACGTTCCGATGTCCGCCATCTTGGTTCGCATACTTCGGGAGCACCTGCAATATATTATCTTGTGATTTATAAGGCATTGGTTTTCAACCTCTCATTTAACCAAAAATCTTTATGAACCAAAGCACGGTTTAAATATGGTCTTCTATTACTTAGTGCTAAATACCTTGACATGATTATTCTACTTTTCATGACAGTCCTTCTACATCAGCAACAAGTTCTGAACTAAGTTCGCAGCATTCATCAAGAGGTCATTTAGAACTGGGAGAGGGAGATGGAAATAGGTATTATATGTGTTATTATTTAATGCAGGGTTCCAAGAACTTTTTCACTGTTTGTGAATCTTATTTTTGACGGATCCCCATTCTATGTTCTATCAATTTCTGTGCTTAACCAATGAGGAAAGATAATGTTTCCTTTGACTAAATAAAACTTTCTTTTGACATGAAGGTCATACATACTGACGTTAAATACTGATGGGCTGGTGGCGATTCCATAAGAATATGATCTGTTTGTATATTATGTTTCAGACTCTTTTCATGTTGTTGCGGACTCTGTGCAGTTGTCACGGCAGTTTGGGAAACCCTAATTCAATGTATTTATTGATTTTTTGGAATAAAAATGTTTTATTCAGCATTTTACGGAATTTTACTGCATATCAACATTTTTTGCTCTCCATGACTGCCTTGCTTTGTGTTCATTATAACACTAAAAGTATTAGAACGTTTTTTTCAGCTTTGTCAGAATTCAAATAACACATGCTTCAATAAAATTCCAATAACTCTGAATGAAAATTGCTTCTTGTTGGCTTATTTATCTGAGATATAATAATTGTATAGTATTTCAAAAACGATATATTTATTTCAGGTTGAAAAGAAAATCTTCCGATGCAACTGATGGTTCTACTGGATATGATTTCCAAGGTAAAAACAACATTTCTTACTTACAGTATTTGCTTCCGTGATATTACAGTAGTATTTTTTTGATTGAATTGTTTTATGAAGCGTTGTCTGTCTTTGATGTAAACGCGGATCTGAATATATTGCTTCTGAAATTTTTATTTTTTTATTTTTTTCAAATGCCTGGTTGAGATGGGGCATGAGGTTTGGCTCTGAGATATCTATCCCTGGCTTATGCGCTAGCTAATTGCTATATATATTCAATTGCATTCTTAGCATGTTTGTATCAATAATTCAAACTATTTAAACTTAAGATGTTAAGATGCGTTTAATTTTTGTTATACAAATCAAGCCGCATTACACTTTATCAGCATTATTTTACAATATGCATCCCCAATACTGATTATAACAGATTTGATCATTTTAAGCCAAAATCTAAACCAGGCAGATGAGAAATAATTGTTTTTAGAAAGTTGTCTGATTTTTTTTCCAAATTTTTTCTCACATTTTGTAAGCTACAGGATTAATTCTATTTAATTCATTGCAATTCATTCAAATTCTTATTTTCAATTTCTCATGATTTTGCAAATAATTTTGCAGGATTTGTGCAAGATCAATATATCGACAGAATTACTGAATCACTCATGTTTGGTTCTTTCACTCCTCCCCCTCAAGTCCTCACCTCCGTTTTATCTCACCCACCACTCTCGATGAGTAAGTCATTACCACCCCGTACTCGATCAACCTCAACCCCATCTCAATACGTTCACCCTTACTCAACAAGTATAAATGTGACCCCTACTACAGCGACGAAATCCTATAAAGAGCCTAAATCGCGAAAAAGTAGAAATGATTCGCTACTTAATCAAAGGGAGATCAGTGGTCGATATAGTTCACCATCTCCACCTAATTATGGTAATTATATTATTTTTCATTGTTCTAAACAGAAATGTGCCTATATATTGGTATCTCATGTTCTTCGAGTTGACAATCAAGGACATTGGTATCTGTTGATGATATTTACCAAACTTCGGTATTGGCGTTATTTAGTTGGTTTTGGATCAGTATCGGTACATCTCTAGTTAAAAGAGTTTTTATTGATATTTCAGACGTAGTCGTATTTTCAAACTTCCAAATTTGGGTTCTAACCTATAAATTTGTCATATTTAGAATTTCATGCTTCTAAATAGTCATATAGTAAATAGCATATTCGATATTGGTTTTATTTTATATGTTAAATTCCTGATTTCTTGAATAATTCAGAATATTTCATTCAAAAAATTGTTATTTGTCAGTCATTATCATTATACAATTAGACAAAAACTAGCTCAGAAAATTCTGAAAATTGTTTGCAATAAAAAATAAAGCAATGTTGTTTTAATTTATTTCATTGTCCGATTAAATCTTCATCGATATACAATGATTGTGCAAGTTTCTCTATTATAATTTAGATTTTTATATTCTATTCAGAATAGGTCTTAGACGAATATAATTATTTGATTTTGACCATCACTAAAATCAACAGTTACATTCATTTATGTATTCACTTTTTTTCCATTTTTATCTGTGTAATCAAGTTATGATTTTATGGAAATTTTCCTACAGTGAATACCAGCACACATCGAGGATTATTTATGGATGAAAACACAAGGAGAATTTGGGGTTCATGGGAGAGTGGTTTGGGTGTGGTTACCCCTAAATCAGGAGGAGGAAGCTGGGGTAGTTCACCAGGTACATTTTGGGAGTCTCCTGATCGTATTAAAACATTGAGCATTTTCGAACACACAGCTCTAGACGTTCTTTCGATTTTTTTTTCGAAGAGAATACCATAGAGAGCAAAACAGAAATTATTAAATACATTGATCGTTAATAACTAGTTTGCCTGACGACACTATCATGAAAAGTCTGTAAAGCAAAATTTTACCAGCATTAAGTCATGTAAAGTGCTGGGCTTCAGACAAAACATAATTATGAAAATTCGAAAGTGGTTAACAAAGAATTGAAGAAAAAGGTGATTTTTTTATCCAAAAACAATTAAACATAACTATGACATACCCAGGTTCATTTTCTTTACAATAAAAACTAGTTTAAGTTATTAAACGTTTGATCTCTTACAGCATATGCTCTTAGTCAGTTAATCAGATTATAAATTCAAAGAAATACTATTCTCTATTCTTAGATTTACTTTTAGTTTTTTGACTGATAATGTATCTATTTTATTTTTTATACTAGTTGAAATATTATCTCATTTTTCATAAAATAATATTTTTTTACTTTGTTTTTAACTGTGCGCATTTGATAAATTGTTTCAATAATAAAACTCCTGTTAGCGTTTAATTTTTTTTTTACAGGCTCAACATTAGAGATGGAGAATGGACCTACAGTATGGTGCATGGTCTGTGTTAAAAATTTCATTGTTACTGGATGTGAGAATGGAAGGATTGAGGTAACTACATTTTCTCTTGTGTTCGCTCTATTCTATTAACAACTCCATTATAGGAATGTTGCTTATGATTATTATAGTCAAAAACTTAACCGACTAACATTCAACAACCAACACCAAAAAATTTAGTTTTCCAAATATTAACTAGGAGTGAGAGTTTTTAAAATTGTGTTGTGGTTCTGCTTGAGAAAAACAGCAGCTGCCAATATGTGATACTTCTCACATTTACAATTACTATTGAGCAACACCTAAATACAAATAGGAAATGAATAATAAAGTTTCTAAAATACAAGCAGTAACTTTTAAGTTTTTGTTGAAAAAACAAATGACCCAGGAAAATTTTCAGGCGACCTAATGTTCGAACCAATGGCAATGAATATAGTTGTTTTTTGATGCTTTTATGCATGTTTTCTTTTATGTATACTATGTCAACTTCCCCCATATTAAAATCCTATATTCCTGCTTGTAATTACAGTATTTAACTTTTTATCCAGATTTGGGACGCAAAGTCTGAGAGATTAAAATGTGCTCATGATGTTGGTAAAGCAGGAGTCTGTGGACTAGTTGCAGAAGATAAAAAACTCGTTGCAGCTCGTATCAATGGAAGTTTAGATTTCTTCTCCATGGAAGCTACTTTCTTCCATAGCACCGCTCCTGTTCAGTATAGAGGTATTGTTTTATTCAGAGTAGAGCCATTGACGACAAAAAGGGCCTGTCAAGTGGTCAACCTATTAGTATTAGCTAGAGTCTTTTTTCTTTCGTGTCCCACTTTTGTTGCACAAAAAATCTGTAGCACATCAACTTTCTCATGCAAAGAAAAAAATATAAGAAAAAACAAAACAAAAAATTTTGCAACTCTAGACACTTTCACTTTGATTATTAAAATGAGAATAACCACTCAGTAGCAGATACAGCATCATCATTCATTGATACTACAATCAAAATTAACTATTTATCAATAACTCTAGCAATTTTTAATAGGTTTGTGGCCCATCTGAAAATGTTTCTATGGCCCAGAAGTGGGCCATGTTCCACTGGTTGAGAACCGGTGAGGTAGACAATCAAGTTTTGTAATGAATTTGCCCAATCATCATGAACTTGAACATCCACTCATTTATGAGTCACCTGACGCCATAGTTGTGTTTGATAAAATAAAACTAGTGGCAGGTTAGTATCTTATCTCGATAGATAAGATTCTTATCTAGATAGATAAGATCAGTTAATCCACTACTAGATAGCACTCTATACTGCTTGTTGTTAAGATTTTGAAAAATGTTTTATTTCAGGTCCTCCCAGAATGAGAAATGACTCGCAATCATTCCAAGATATTTCTTTCAGTGATGTTCTCACTTTACAGTTGTTTCATACAGTTAAAACTGCACATCAGCAGCCTATCACAGTTTTCAAGGTAAATTTACGATACAGTATTTTTGTTACACTATATATTTCTTTATTGCATAAATATGGCAGCTAACAGTACTTATATATAATTTTGCTTGATTTAAAGGACATAGTAACTTATTAATTCTGACTTTTCCTGCAGCGCTTTTCATCTCTGCCTGATTTTCCTTCGAACACACTAAAAAATCTCTCAGCTCGCGAAATTGCAGCAGATACTGTCTATCTCTATTGTTATGTAACAATAGATGCAGACACTACTTAACAGAAAGTGAACGACTTAAAAAACCCATAAATTCAATATTACAAAGACCCGCTTGCATATTTTACACAAAATATCAGATCTTGGTCTTATTTAGGTGATGGTGTCTCTGATTACTGGTTCCGAATCCTTCAAGTTTGATCAATTTTTTGTTTTATTATTTCATTCATTTTGGAAATGAGCTTGGTGGCACGCTATGCTAAGCAAACAGGCTTGTCATTGCACTTTTGATACGCTATGCTGCTTTATCAATTCAATCCTATGGCGGATAATTATGTGCGAGTGCGTTGCTGGACTTTTCACTACTTCCATACCCAACATGGACTGGTAATCGGACGAGAGTCCGTGTTTCATCTCTGGCGGGATAATTATTAAAATCTTATCCAAATTTCTGTTTACTTATATAGATGGCAATGGGAAGAGTACTTACTGGTAGCTGTGATCACACACTCAAATTATTCACACTGCAAGATGGTCGATGTCTTTTTACCTTATACGGACATAAAGGCGCAATATCAGCACTGTATATGGATCCTGGTCCTCCTGCAGGAGCAGCAAGTGGATCGTCAGATGGGACAATCAGATTGTGGGATTTGCCATCTGGAAGATGTTTGCACATGTTAGATGAACATAAAGGTATAGTTGATGACAAATGAATTTTCCTTTTATATTATAATTGCTACTATCATTGATATGGTACCCATTTCATAGTAAATAGTTTTTTTTCCATATTTGTCGTTATGAAAAGAAAGATGATAAGATTACCATGACCAAGCAAAATTTTAAGATGCCAAGTGGCAAGGCTTATGAATATCAACAGTGACATTTCTGACTTAACTATTCTTAACAGATTATTGGTGAAGGATTTCAGGATTAAAAAAAACTGTTGTAACCTCATTATGTCTTTATACTATGTGGTTTATACTATAAGGTTTATACTATACTGTTTCGTCATAATACTCCCAAAAAGTAGAAATAGAGGGAATCAAATATGCCTGATCGCAGCCCGAGAAAGAAAAAAATTGAAAACGAATTAATGAGTACAAATACAATTTAACTCCATTGATCCTTCACAGCACCAACTGTATTTCCGTTTCTAGACGTGAGCTGGACAATCTGCTCTTTTTGGTTATTTTCAACAAATTTGGTAATTTTCATCCATGGCAACATTGGACTTTATCAAGTTTATGCGCCATTTCATAATCTTCTTATTTCTCCTAAGGTGAAGTGACATCCGTGCAATGTTCAGACACTCATATCGTATCTATAGCACAGGATGACAAATTATGCGTGTGGACAAGGACTGGTATGCTGTTGCATGTCAGATGTCTGGTTAGTATTATATTCATATCTTATTTACTGAGCATCTTTGGACCATTTTACAAGTCGCTGTTGCGAAAAAATTGTTCAACTAATCAATAAGACCAGTTCGCCATCTTTTTGACAAACTTCGCTAATTTCTAACCCAGTTGTTTTCAATCAGGGTTCTGCAGCACCCTGGGGTTCCGCCCGTACAGTCCAGAGGTGCCATGTTTCCATTCAAGTCTGAGCTGAGAGTCTATATTAATATGTGTATTATTTATATATAATCAAATACCTTTGGTCTGCCACTATTAACAGATTTGTTTCGCTTTAAAGATCATTTTGTTTTGCCAGAATTAGGTTCACTAATATATATATATATAGTTTATACAAAGCAGACGATGAAAGCCAATTAATTTAGTGCACAGCACAGGGGCTCCTTGAGCGTCGGAGCCATTAAAAAGACCGATACTGATATGAACTAATATGGCTGTGAGCCAGTGACACTCGATTTGCAGTTTGGATCTTTTGAAAGATCAGATAATCATACATTTCAGCTCATTTTTTCTTTGCTCTTTATTCTAATATTTTATATTTTTATTTATTCCAGGACCCGGGCTGTTCTGGTGATATATGTTTGCTGGGGAATTCATGGTGCGTCACTGGTGGATTGGGATGTGTGTTGCTCTGGGATATGAGGTAAAATAGCTTCTATCTATATTATTGTAGACAGGTTCTGGATTCTTAAAAGCACAGATGTTTAATAAGATTTTGGTATTTGAATTGACTTGTAACTATTTATATAGAATATTTTCGATTTCAGTATATTTTGGTATTCCACACTTTTCGGTATTTGTTTTAAATATTCTGACTCACATTCGAAGCCCATATTTTATCATATGGCAGTAAAGTGAATGTAACCTTTCTTTTTGTCCACCCTGTATAGCAGTGTTTCGAAACTGTGGGTCGCAACCCACTATCGGCTCGCCTGAAAATCTTCTTTGGTCGCTTGAGTTACTGAATTTATTTCTTGATAAATTTTATATTGGTGTTCTTCAATAGCAGTTGTATATGTGTGAGAAGCATCACAGCGTGAAAACTTGTTAGAATTCATTCTACGTTTAGTAAAGCCACGTCAGGATTTGAAAAACTTACTGATGACAAGCAAGCGCAGTTTTCTCAATTTAAATTGATTTGGGGACAAATAAATGTAAAATGATTGTTTTATATTAGTAATCTAATTTGAGCCCATAAAAGCAATACATGCTATTTAGTATTCGAGTATATTTTTTGGGTCGCTTGAAAAAAGGTTGGTAACCACTGCTGTATAGTAAGTGATATCGCTACATGTAAAAGTAAATTTACAACTATTATATCCCTTAGAAATGGAGAACTTGTGAGAAGAATCCAACTTTCTGATGAATCTCGTGGTCTGAGTTCCAGAGTTTCGAAACTTGTTCTTGTTGACAATCTTGCAGTAGCTTGTGACACAGGCAGGGAACTTCAAATTGTAAGGTTTCCTTCCGTGCTAGAAAAAGTTGACTGAAGAATATGGAGAGTGTATGTGGATTCTGAATAAAGATATGTCTTCACCATTATATTGTTCTCAAGCTTCTTCAGCTGCCTTCTTATATAATATATGCAACTTCAATGATTTACTTTCATACTCTTTATAGTATTTAATATAGTGGAGTATGGTTGGGTAATGTGTTTTTGATTGCTGTATATCATACGTACATGACAATAACTTTGAAATTTTTCAATTAATGGACATAGCAAAACAACAATTTATATTTAATTTAGCTGAAAATTTCAAAGTAATTGGCAATAACAAATATACTAATTTGATAAAAATACACTTTTTTTAAATAAGACCTACAATTTACTTTGACATAATAATTGATAATTTCTTAAGATTTAAATACGTCTCGTTAACAAAGGAAACCTATTTTCTCTACAAGGAACTAAATACACATCTTCTATTTTCATGTTGTGTGTGTGTGCTTTCTATGTGATTTTTACGAGTTTTGACTGCACTGCTTATTTATTCTTTGTAATGAATTTATCGGCTGTGTGAAATTTAATACGATCCAAAAAGTTTGAAGAGCTGGTAAATGAAATAAAGTTGCATTTGGCTAAATTTATTATTATTTGTTTTTTGTTGCCAATACACAAGATGTTCCTGGACTTTTATTGAATGTTTGATACTTTGAATATTATCTTTCATTTTTTGCTTTCTTGTATTTTTTGAATGAATATTGCTTTTGGAATTGAATTTCTGTTTACTCAATGTGGTTTGGGCCATACTCGATGTTGACTTTGAGGAGCTTTTTCTTAGTTCAGGTTGAGGCTTGATTTGGTGTTGGAGCAAAACTAAAGAGTAGTGCGTCTCATGTGGCGATATCAGTTGTCGGCAAAACAACACTTATGTCAAGTTTATTTTGTTCACTTTATTGGTAATGTGTAATGCATATAATATGGTGTTGCCTTCACTAACTGCATTCATCGAATGGAAACTAGTCCCGATATTTGGCAGATATCACACGTAGTCGATGTCTTAATATTGGAACTTGGTTGAGTCAGCGTTGATATGGATGCTAGACAGGAATCCTTTCACAAGCTGCTTAATGAAATGTGAGGGCATACTGAATTTTGAGTACACTTCAAAAAAAATTCGACTTTGGGTTGAAAGAAGTTTAGACTTGGGACTCCGCCTCGGAAAACCAAATTTTGACATAAAGACATTATATGTATGATTACGCAATCAAAAATGTCTTTATTTTTTTTAAATTACCACCATTATAAAAGCCTGAAATTCTTACTGTGGCACCAGGGAGTTTGACATTTTCTACTCCAGTGAAAATGAAAACTGGCCGCATCACACAGACCTAAATAAACTTCATATGATTTGATTCTTGTCACAGTACAGCAGTGGTTTTCAGACTTCTTGATAGAGTGCCTAATGAAAGATTCCAGGCACTGTGCAATAGTTTACTTGACTTTTATCATCTGAATTCTATACATTTTAAATACACATTAAGGCAGACCTAATACCAGCGAAACAAAATGATCTTTAAGTGTGAAAAGCTTATTGATATTGGCTAACCGAATAGGTATTCAATTATATTTAAACATTATACATATCAATATAAACTCTCGGACTTAATCAAAAAACATGCGGAACTCAACTGTGGTGACGGCCCAGTTTAAAACTATCGCTGTACAGTAAAGCTAGACATGCCTTCTCTTCCAAAGGCACAAACCCTAACATTGGGATATTATTATTAGACATTTTTCCATAACCCAAACACTGTCAACTACATTTTAGACAGCAGTGGAATTATGTTCCATCAACAAAATATATAATCTTATTTACATATAATTTATATGTGAAATCTGCAGGAAGTCCCATGGATGGTTGAGACCTGCACAGTGGAGTAAGAATGCTTTTAGCAGCTCTAAATGTCCTAATGAATTATTTCATTGCCCACAGTAAAAAAATCAGTATTAAACCTTAATCCAGATTCTATCTTATGATAAAACATGGACCCAATTACAGCACTACCTCTATCACACATAATATTCTGCCAATCCCATCCTAAAACACCAGATGTGAGAAAACCTTTGTGCAGAAATTTTAATAAGCAACTTTGCAGTGAAACACAAAGAATCTATTTACAAAATCATGAAATATGTCGAAAGCTCATAGCTGTTCACCAAAAATGGTTCCAAATATTGAAAAAATCTTGACAAAGCACACAGTATTTTTAACAAAGTACACAATCTTACAATATACAGTTCTTCTCATAAGAATGGGGGATATAGTCAATGAATGGCACATTTGGAATACGGCAAGGATGTACTCTGTCAGCATTTTTAATTGTCGTCTATATTACAAAAATTGAGAATCGCAAATAATTTAGTTTATTCATTGACATTTCACACATTTGGAATGCAACAAGGATGTTCTCTGTCAACATTTTCATTTGTTGTCTATGTTAGATAAATTTAGAATCGCAAATAATTTAGTTTATCCATAGATATTTCGGTCAATCACTTTACTTATTGGATGGCATGCTCTGAATAGAGTAACATCGTAACATGCGAAACTTTCAACAAAAAGTCTCATACTTCACAAAGCTATACTTGAACATAAGCAAAAAAAAAATGATATTTCAACTGAAATACTAAGAATAATTTATACAAAGTAAGGAAGAAAGAAGCTGTTACAGGGCTACAGAGAATGGAAATCCCCCCCCAAAAAAAAATTGTTTCTATTTAATATTATATTAAATCATCCAGTGTTTTGTTACACAGGTAAAAAAAAACTCACACAAAAATCTGGTAGAAGAAACATTAAATACAAAGAGGAAAAGATCAACGTATTCATTACTTACTGAAAAAGTTTTAGGGAAAACTGAATATAAATACTCACTTATGGAGAATATTCATTGAATAATAAATTATTTGCAAATTATCAAAATAACAGAAAACAAAGGAACCTATGAATCTTAAAAGAAATCGCCAAACTACATTTGACTATGTCCAAACAGTTTTTAAAATTGGGATATCTGTAGATACGCTAAATGAAAGAAAATCTAGAACAAAATGAAATTATTTGGAAATTTTGAATACATGAATTTTGCATCGTCACGGTGGCATTGATGCTACTCTGCGTGAGTGAGTATCTTTTACTTGAGTAAATTTCTGTAACCAAGTGATAATTAAAAAAAAATGGTGACCTGACATGGTGAAAATATCAAACATTTTGGATGATAATCATACATCGGTTATATTTGATCACCAATGGTGACCAGCACCCGCTCAAGCTCAAAAAGATATGTAAAATAAGCAATAAGGCTACATGTCCATACAGAATGTAAAAATGTGAGCAAAACTTTGAAATATAGATATGCTTTCGACATGAAACGCACAAAAAACTGATTTGAATAACTTCAACACAGACATTTGCAACATGGTAATTCTAATATTAACCATTGTGGAGTGTACATAAAATGAGAAAAATAATTTTGACTAATCCCAAAAAACTTGATAAAATTGAATTATTTTCACTCTTATTTTAGAGTTGAGTTTATTCAGCACACAACACTGAAATCCCAAATCTTGAAATCAGATTTCAATGTTTACAATTTGTTTTTGAAAATCCCAACCAAAAGAAAATTTTAGTCACCTTTCTTTTAAAACAATCTATGAAAGCAAAAATGATTTTTGGCCTTCTTTTATTGCAGTTTTTAATTTTTTTCTCATAACTTCCTCACTGGAGTATTCAGGCAGTTTAAGATAATTCAAGCATGTCATAACAGAAGGCAAATAATCGTCAATGTTTTTAGCGTCTTCACATGTTTTTCGAACAATGGTTAATCTTGGATTAAGAACGCGAAGTCCTCCAACAGGTAGATGTGGACAACCTGTAACGAACTGCAAAAAGTTTTGTTGTTCTGAAGCAGTGTACGAAGAAAGAATTTTATACAAAGACTTTACAGTTACGCTATTTTGAGTATAACCGTGGTCAGGGTGGCAAGCCTCGCTCAGCTCATTGACGTCCCATGGTTGATACCTGCATCCACAGAAAAGTTGGTCGAGTTCTTCTGGATAAAAATAGTTTAAACATGAGATGGGAAGAACGGAGTTAAAACCTTCTCTCAAAGCATCCATTTGATGTTTAACGCCTTCATGTAATGTCCAGTGTGTAATAAGATCGAGATATTTATCAAAATTGTGTGGAGTAACTGAAGTGTTTTTCCCCATTTTGAGAAGTTCGACATTTGGATAACCCGGCAAGCGCATGTCCAATCCAATATCTTCAATGGGGCATCCATCCATGGATAATTGTTCCAGTTTTTCGTGATCAGAAAAACAATGTTCACGTTCCTGTGCAACCACACGAAACTGACCATGAGAGGAAGCAAGAGAGGTATCCACATACATCAAATCTAAACTTGTGAAGCAGTGCTCTTTACCCAACAACCATTTGTAGCAGGTTGTACTTAAAGGTAGATCAACGAGCCTTCCATCCAAGAGAGCTTTCGCTAAAAATTTACCGATAAAACGATATTTTGATTTTATTCGTGAAACTTGGTTGTGTTTGGCAGCTCGGCCAAGAGGCTTAGGGAATAGCCCAACATTCGTAGCAACGTACTTTTTGATAGAAGTATCTTTCGAGGGATCCGAAACATCATCATCATCTGACAGAGCTTCACCAGCTGGAAGCTCGTCTCTCCACAGACCGAGTGAACAGCCCTGTAACTCTTTACTTGTAAGAGTGAAGAACTCAAGTGTGGGACCAAGACCAGTACCAACCTCCTCTTCATAATCGACTTCAATCATTGCTCTTGAATGTCCATGATCAGAAATAATTTTTTCCGCTTGCTGGAGTAAATTTTTCCTTGATACGGAACATTTCTTTTTTTCAATTCGTGGCATAAAACGACTCAATCTATTACTATTATCACTGGAATGCGACGACATATTCAAAGCAGTGGAGAATTCTTGCGCAGCTCCCGTTTCCAAAAGATGTTGTAATGCCCGATCTCTTCCCAAAGCTGAAACCTTAAAAAGCAATTGTCGAACTTCGAACGCTAATAAGAACGGACAAACATTTCCGATTTCTTGTACCCATGTGCTTAATTGGCCAGTGATAACAACTAAAGGATCCTGCAGCTGATGTTGACATTTAGCATTGACTTTAAAATTGACGAAATCACTTGGTTGTACCAAAGCTTTATCTGTATGTACTACATAAGGAGAATACAAGTAATACCAAAACCTGACAATAGCGTGAATAATGCGAAGTAAGCATAGTACTTCTTTGCATGGATCAGATGTAGAGAACTCCAGCGGAAGTTCCTTCGTTAGATACTGGTGTAAAGGATTTCTTGGAGGCATAACAATTCCATTTGACCAGACAGGATCATTAACTTTGCTTTTTGTACCGGTACTTCGTCCTTGTTTCGAACCACGTTGTTTTTTAATCGAAGTTTTCTCTTTATGACTACTGTTTGAATTTTCGTCATTCTCACTTGCAAGCCTGTACATAATAATGTGGGTTTTATTCCAGAAACTTGCCTTTTCCAAAGCTCTAAAACCACGGTCTCTTTCATCTCCCGATAGGCCGTTACTTGACGCTTGGCCATATTGTTGCAACGCTTGATACACAGTAATATGATGAGGAACTTTATGGTCTCCAATATAGAATGCTAACTTATGCATAACATCTGGAGGTTTTCGTGCTCTACCAGAAGCTATGTCACCAAAATCATCCATACTGCTGGATGCTGAGTTACTTGCTGCACTTGATAATCTACTCTCAGGTGGAGTGCTCATAAAGTCCTCACTGTGAGCATCGAGATCAAAATCATTGACAGTGTTTTGCATGTCGTCATCAGAGTCGTCCTCCTGGTCGTCAACTTGCGATAAATGCATATGCTTCGCAGGTTCACCTAAACTTATATTTGACGATTTTACGCCATATCCTCTCGTGACTAAATATCGTTCAATAGCATGAACTTGCACTAATGGATCAACTTTCACTGGACCTCCGAGCCATTGTTTAATACTACGAGACGCAGGGTGACGTTGCAATTGGCATTTTAGCTGTTTCGTGCTTAGAACATGTAATATTTGAGAACTACCGGACATTAAATCACGGCTTTTGACAGGAAATTGTTCCATCTGTCCAACGCATTGATTCAGTTTTCGCACCATATTGAGAAGAGGCTCTGTTTGAGTATCATCAATATGAGAAATAGTTCGTCCGATAGGCAGCATACTCTCTTCAGGTAGGCCAGCAAACACAGATAAAAATTTCCGAATTCTGATATGTAACTCATCATAATCGCAGTTGGGAGTTTCATTCACAGAACTTGGCACAGTGAAAAACCGCAGCAGAGAAGTAACAATTCCGCTATGTTGAAGTTCAAAAGGTGATACTTCCAAGGAACTTATATCACACAACTGTTTAAGAGATTCCAAAACATCTTTTGCAGGATCAGACAAGTTTTTAGCAATATCTGTCAACTGATCTAAAACATTGGTTTGTGGATTACTATCATCTCTCGTTTTGAAGTATTCCAAAAATTTCTTAGCTTGGTTTACGATCCACTGTCGAACTTGCTTCATATCGGCGTCGCTTTTATTTGAAGATCCCGCTTCTGAACCACTTGATGAATTTTGCGCCATTTTGGATGAAAAACTAGTTTTACCAGATGATTTAGATGCACTACTTTCACTACTATCATGACCAAGTGCAGACGACAACGATTTTCCCCATTTACTTGGATTGAAGTTAGACAGGAAAGATGACGTAGATGACCTAGAACTTCTCGACGAACGAGTAGAGGATTTCTTTTTCGCACCCCCACCACCAGAGGCACCATTGTCTTTCCCAGACATGGCAGCGGCAAATGCTTTTGCTTTGGTTAATGGCGGAGAAACATCATCCGATGATGTCGATGACTTTTTTCCAGACATGGAATTTGGCGACTTTTTTGTTGCCAGATTGACTCCACAAGCTCCATCTTTACTATTTGAAATTGCACCGGATGTTTTACTTATATCTGTAGCGGTGCCTACCAATGGGTGAGAGGGATCAGTCAGTTGTTTAACCTGGTGGACCACCCCTTCCTTACAAAACATATCTCTGAAAATATCAGGCAATTTCTGCATAATCATTTCTGATAATTGTAGTGCACTGACAATGAGTTTGATATCAAAACTTGAAAGCATTGAAGAGATTTGACTAGACAATGTTAGATCGCGTAATACTTCAATCAATAATTCAGGCTTTGAAAAGAAAACCATTTTTTGCATGGCATGTAGACAGCTTTGTCTTACAGCTGGAGATCCTGCTGATGAACAATATACTTCATAAATGATTACAAAAATAGTTTTGACAAATCGACCAAATTCTGACATGTCTCTTTCAATATCGTTCCATTCCATGTCTGATTTTTTTGAATTTTGACTTGCTAGAGATCCATGAGAAGAATTGTAAGCAACTCTGACAGGGACTCGTTGAACAAAACGAGAGGTTCCTGTATCGTCGTTAATTTGTTGCATTATCTCAAAATCGATTGTATAAGACGAGTCCAGGGTATTGAGATTTACTTCATGTTCACCAGCGGCATACGCGGATTCCAACATTCGTATTGCGTGTTTCGTATATGACTGCCATTGCCCCGTGCCATCCTTCCATTGCCAGCTTACTCCATTCAATTGTGTATTTCCAGAAAAATCAGAATTATCTTTACAGGTTAAACTATTTATAGCAAAAAGTGGATCGTCCATTGGCAACTTTGGAAGCAAGTGTGTTATTAATGTAGTGATTTCAAATAATTCTTGTGAGCTTCGTGAGAGTAATTCCACTATTCCATTTCTTCCTTCTGAGGGTGTGCCACATAGTAAATAGCTTAAAGTTTCTGCGATATTGCCTCGAATCAGTTCAACAACGAGTGAACGAACATTACGGCAAAGCACAGTCATGCTACGTATCACCATCACAAATGTATTGCTGCTTAGTACAGGTGGAGAAATGACGAGTAATTGTTGTAAATTTTTGAGCAAATCGTTTTCCGCGATCTCGGATAATATATCCGGTTCATATTGGTAATTGTCTATTAAACGTACAAAACAAAGACAGACACTTTCGACACATTTTTTATCATGGTGAGTGAGACGACTAGACAACAAAGGCAAACAACTTTTCACAAGTCTCTGAAATTCCTCTTTTGGGCTAGGATTGTCAGGAGAAAGAGTTCCAATTGCTGAGCTACAATTAGCAGCTACAGAGAGGGCTGATCTTTGTGCAGGCAACGAAAAAAAATCTATGTACAGCAGACAAGCTGACTGTCCACCGGCTGCCAAAATTGCTGGAGCATGACGATGAGAGAGCATATCCAAAGCTGTTAAAGACTGTTCCGCAACATCCATACATTGTATTACTTGAAGCTGGAGAAAGAAAATATGAAACAATATTAATTTAACGTATATACTTCTTTAGATGTTAGGGAACTTATATGTTTAAGAAAAATTTGTAACAACAAGTTAATAAGAGCATATATGAGTGAATTTTAATATATAAACTGTTTTCTATTTAAAAATATAATTCTGAAGATTTGAGAAAAGAAATTTCTCAAAAAGTATGTCCCAAAATGCTTATTCCACATGAAAAATGACAGAATTTTTGGAATTTCCTACCATTATATAAAGTCGAGAAATGCCCAGATATGAGAGAACAAAATAAATCAATATGGACCGATACAAAATTAAAATGAGTCAACAGAAAATCAACTTCTTATGTAATGAGCATGCACAAACAAGTGTCACTGCACATCAAATATATATGAATAAAATATTCTTCAATATGTTTGTTAGACTTTGATCAATACATGAGTTCCTTTCGTTTATTAAAAATACTTCAAGCTTACAAAAAAATGGTAGCTCAGTAAAAAAAAGGCTCAATGTCAGAAGAATTTGGTATCATGAAAAATAAAATCATTTTTCCACATAATATGCTGATCATGTTATTTTTGGAATTATTGGAACAAATAAAGTTGAATGAATTTCAAAAACAATGACATTTAAATAAATAATAAGGGGAATTTCAATAACTTGGTCAAATTTGGTCAGGAATCAATTTATGGTACCAGTATATAAATTTGGGATTATTCACAGAAAGGGATTAGTTCAAAACCAGGAGAGTAAATAGCATTAATAGTAGCAATACATCCTATATTACTCTTTATTTTAGAAATCCAGCTGTTATCAATTTACAAAATATCAATAAAACGCCATGTAATTACATTATATACACTTATTTGTTTGAAAACAAATCAATAAAATGATCACATTATGTTGAATTTTTCCTTATGATTATGCTATCTGGCATTAGAGAACGTAGTTAACCAGGAACCAAAATTATTATTATACAGAAACGTTTCTTTTTATTGCTTATATACTGAAACTACTAAATTTTCTATTTTTATAGTAAAATCATATAACTTAAGGGCATGTGTTATCATTTCGTCGCAAAATAAATAGGTTATACTAGTGACATGGACCTGTCATGTTGTTTATTAATTGTCATCTCTTGCAAAATAGATAGTGGATGGATACTTTTCCATTTTTGGGGTTCACGGGCCCTCGGTTAGGAATAACTGGTTTGGGATATGCTGAAGTGCTGAATTATTTTGGAAGATAATTCTGGTACCAATATGGAGGTAACTAATTTTTTTCGCCTACTTCACACAAGTTGTGTAAAGGGACTGAAACCTGGGGGCAGGGAGGGGTATATTCACTGGGCTAACACAGACAGTCCCCGAACTCGTATTAAAACTAAAATAAGGAAATTTGGAATAAAATTATGGCCTAACCCTAACCTACGAAAAAGAATACGATAACATAAAATAAACTAACCTTTTCAAGAAGAACCGGTATTGCGTCTACTACGACAGCAGAAGAACGTGGTAGTGCTTCCATCATGTAGGTGAGACCACGACAAGCATGATTCATCAGATCGAAATTGTGTTCCATTTTTAACAGATTAATAAGAGCAGGTACAACACTCTTGATTGGGAAGCCAGCGAGTGTGTCTTCATTTCCCATGACCAACAACTGACACATACCAATCGCAGCTTGGAGTTGACGAGACTCATCCCCCACTGCTTGCAAACCTATTTTGTTTAGAAGCATAAATAAATTTTAGAAAACAATTATAAATTCACCACATTCAATACCAGAAATCCTTCCTATTACCATATCTTAGCAAATCAAGATTACTTTATGCCCTGAATTTTATGTTTAAATCGCTTTTTGGACCTTCTCAAAAGTTTTACCGAGCGCACTCATTCAGAAATAAAGAAGATTGATCTCTAAGCGAAGTTACAGGCGGCCAGGCCACTAAGGTGCCAAGAGCCATTGTTATAATGAATAATTATAGTGTCAAATTGTACATTAGAAAATAAAGACCGACCTGAGACTTGGGACAGTGCCATAAGTCACAGAGTTTAATCTGCTTAAGTTCAAATCACACTTTCCCAACTTAGAGTCAATGAAGAGTGACCTGGCAGTTCCAATACTCCAGAAATAATCATACGTTCATCAAAAAATACTGAGTAAAAGAACTAGCTAATGCACTCAAAAGACAGTATTATTTTATAGACAAGATTTTTCTTACCCAACTCATTAAAACATTCGCAACTATAGTCGATAGTGCTTTATTCAGCTTTTTAAATTTGGCTGTATGTATGACTTCAAACATTGCCTAATAGCCTACTTCAAGTAATTACCATTATGAAATAATTATATGCTGTAATTAATTCAGAAAAAGAAAATTATGGACAAATTGCAGATTAAAATGTTCTTACAATTGCCCAAGTCCTTACTTATACTTTTACAAGTAAGAATTATAACAAGACTTTTCATAAGGCATGACTGAAATCATACAACCTGGGATTGCGAAATACTGATGAAATACCAAAGCTGAAATAATATTGCACAAGAATAGTATATACCTTGCAAATATTGTTGTGCTTTTGAATTCATGCCAGATCCCATGGAACGGTGCAGGATTTGTTGCATTCTGGGTCCTAAATTGCCAAGAAAGTGTGGTGGAAGTCCACGAGCTTCAAGCAGTGCTTGCAGTCGATTGACGTCAGAATCTTCCGATTCACTATCATTGTTCGATAATGTAGCCATAGCATTACTTGAAGTGGCACCACCAGCTTCTAAAAAATCATTTATTTATTGGACTTTTTTGCATTCACAGTGGCACAGCAACATAGGACATTTTGAACAGTGATACTGATGAGCAAGAACTGCCACCCAAGTTTGTCATCGATGAAATGGTCTAGACTAAATTGTTGACATTGCTAAGTGTGTAAGCCAAACTATTTCTCTAATTCTCTCCACAAGAAAGGCAATTTGAATTTCTGACTTTTTGACTAGAGATGGGCATTTTGAATGAGCTTGTGATTGCCTTTTACTAATTTGCATTAGCCTGTAAATCTGTAATTCAATTGTTCATGCATATTTTATTATAATCTCATACTGTTATGAGCAAAACAGTGCTTTCTCTCCAAAAACCTTTTATACAGAAAAACATGATTATAAGCAGTATTGGTATTTCAAATAATCATTATTTTTATGGTGAGATCAATTAATCAATTTATTTTGTTCTATTCGAGTAGATCTGTAAGTCTAAGTGACTCCTTGTTGGAATCGTATTCCATAGAGATTGAGAATAGTATTCGCATATAGGCATGTTCATATCATTAACAATTATTTTCTTCAAGCTTAAAAATAGAACTACTGTTGCAAAATCTAATTTTGATAGGCTACATATGAAACGTTTTATTCTACACCATGAAAATATTCAAAATTGGTTATATTCCGTGTAGTGAATTCTATATTTCGGGAATATTCCAGAATATTATAATTTCAAAAATATGTCCTTTTGGTTATAGCATCGGTCACCTGACACCGCCTGACTTATGTAATTTGTGATAAAGTAGAAAGGCAAAAGTCATTACATATTTTTTCTTTATACTGCAATATTAAATTTGTATAAATATAATGATTTTGCAAATTTCTTTGTTGATGGCCCAATTCTCAAAAATACATTTCCCGAATTTATTTGGAATAATAAACTATCAGGATTAGGCCATACCTGTGAGAACAAATTATTAGGATATGAACATGCTCGGACGATACTACCAAGTTGTTGTCACTACGGAAATACTAACATTCCAATCTTACCTAATGCAGAATCCTCTGCCGATTTAGATGTTTCCGCTCCGTCATTATCTCCTTCACATTTACTCGCATTGCCCGCTTCTCGTGAAATCTTTGATTTGCGCATTAATGCAGGACCAGATGTATCACTGCATACGTCTAGAGATTGAGAAGTATCCGAGGATCTTGCGACAGTGGGAGCTTTACTCCTCTCTGATCCCCTGTGGCTACTCGCACACGACCCCGTTTTGGCGTTGGAAGAAGTATTTCCTAATGACTTTTTATTGGATTTATGACGCCCTGACAAAAAACTTCCAATTTTTTTTTCGGTTAATTTTTTGGATTTCCCTCGCGAGTTTTCTTCTGATTTTTTCGATGTTGATGGCAAAGAACTATTAGAAGTTGACTTTGCCTTTTTGTGGAATATTTTTGACTTTGGCGAGGTGGATTTTGAAGAATCCAACTTCTTTGACGCAGATGATTTCTCCGTTAATCTATGAAGTCCGCTGATCTGAAAATCTGCCTCTGTTGTTACCTCAGTTCTTGTGACTTTAGATTGTGGAGCAGTATGGGGACTGACTTCTGTTGATCTCTTTCTGGGTGTGACTACAACCCTACAGATAGAGTAGTTTGATAATGATCTGTCTGTTTCGTAGGACGTGGTCGTAATCGTTTCAAATATGGTTCAGATTCTGGAAGAGAGGCGTTACTTCTTGGTTTGGCTGCTCGATATGTGGAAGCCTCAGAGGAATTTTGCTTAGTAGTGTACCCCCCCGAAGACTTAGCACGACGACTTGACATGTGACTGGAAGCTCTTTCCGAGCCAAATATGCATACACTGATGCAGATAACAAAAAAGACCAATACTTATCATAGGGAAAATCTGAAAAACAGAAACAATTGAAAATTATAAATTTTCAAATGAAAATTTTTTCAAAGAAAATATCGACGCATGAAATCCAAATTGGGCTGAGTCCATTTTTTTTTTGTTTCTTTTTTTTATTTCTCCAATACCTTACATCGAGGATGTCTAGTTTTTATGGTCCACCAAAGTTACAATGAAGGCCATATTTAGATGGTATAAAAAAATTTGTGCTCCGCCCCAATTTTTTTTGGGGGTTTTTTTTTTTTTGGACTTAACCCTTTTTGGCTCTCAATTTTCTGGACCAGAAACAATTTTATTGGACTTAGGGCCCCTTTATTATGTTATTGTAGAGGCTGGTATGGACATAGCGCTTTGTATTATATTTTTTGAGAGAAGCTATGTCCAAAAAACGGACTTACCACAACTTACAATGCAGTTATTCAGAGCTAAGTCCACTATAGTAGACACAGCTCTGTTTAGTTCTCAAATGCCCTAGAAAAAGCAGGGTTATGTTTATGTCCATAGCTGTCTTGAGATCTAGAGCACCTAGACTTAGGCAAATAGACAAAAATGTAGAGCTAAGTCCAGGAAAATCAGTAATTGAAAAATGTCATTTTTTGGAAAAGTGGACTTAGCACTGTTTGGTTTTGAGGTGTCGATATATATTTATCAGTATAGGTTACTCAATCCTTCCTCAGATTGTTGTAAACTGCTTGTCTGAGAAAGTCTAATTTTGACCTGACAAAACGTTACAGAAATATATTTGTGCTAGTATGCAGCAGGACTTTTAAATTACATAGAATATACATTGACTTCAAATCCTGTTTGAAAATTCACCTTCAACTGAAAATTATTTTTGCCTGTCTAAAGAAAGTTACTTGTATAACATTATGGAATTATCCAAACACCTTCATAAGTCTATGATGCAAGCCTTGCTCTAGAAAATTCCCTAATCCCTAAACAATCGTGTAGGCTTTGTATAAGTCATTTCTGTATTCCCTTATGATATCTTATACCTTGTCAATCTACATCTTGATTATTACGCAAGTCAACCACATAATACTGTTAAACTACATTTTCCAGAATGTTTTTAAAGTACAGTGCTCTCCTGCTTTTCCAAGTTAACACCCCACCCCAATATAATACCATATTTACTCAAGTAAAATTTCCAATATAAAATGAATATAGCGAATATTCAATTTTGAATACTGGTAATAAGTACTAATAGATACATAATTTATATCGCAAATGATTGGTCTTATTAACTGCCAAAACAACATGATACCATTTCCATATGATACCTATTTCCTTGATCTGTTAGAAGTTCAAAATCATTGGAAAAACATATCCTACAAATGTCTTAGTAGTTGAAAATTTACATCAGGACCCATGATTTAATAACAATTCAGTTTATGCTGAATCAAAATTATTTAGCAAGATACAATTAAAATACCCGATACCTTTTTTTACATTTATTAATAAAATTGAACAATACCAAAAGTTTCCTAAGAATGTGTTTATCCAAAGAAATATATCTAATGAATAACTCCTATACTAAGAATTCTAATTAAATTAATTAATTAATCCAATCAAATATATATAACTTTTGCTCAAAATATAAAATATGTATCGGTGCAAATGAAAGACATCTAAATTTAGTTTCCATATAATTTCAATTACAGCTAAGCATTGTCAATTCTCCTTACTAGCACTTTGTATATATTAAACTTTCGTAATTGCAAATTTACCCTCTCACATGTAAAACAAGCATCAATCAACAAAATGTTTATGAATGTTTGTTTCACACCAGTATCAAAATTTTTATAATGTTGATTCGCCAAAAACAATAATTGATTAACCCAGTTCATTATTGTTTTATTAACACATTGTGATAATAAAAAATGTCACAGATTATAAACAGTCTATATTTGTTTCGACACATTTACTGAATATGTTACAAAAACATTTTATTTGTGATGATATTGGAAAAACATCACTTTCCCACATACATCAGTACACAAGAAAATTGCTATTTCAGATGTGTATTAATTCAAACAGCAGTTTCCGAAGTCAGACCCAATTTAAAAATGCTTCAATGACCAATTATATTGACAGCTCATTAAACATGGTTAATATTAAACAAATTGCCATACCAAACTACCATATGATTCAAAATAAATATAAGTAAGAGTCATGACAAATAAACTGTATTCACCATAATTAACAAATTGAATAGATTGTTTAAATGTGGGTTAATCTGGCGAATGAATAGTGTTAAAAAAAAAAATTTTGTCATATTTAAGCACTTTGGGGATTTTTGGAAAGCAATTTGCTATCAATTTTTGCACTGTTGAGAGTAACTGTTTCAATATCAAATACCGGTTTTACACTAGTTCAAAATCAGGTGATTTCCAGTATACCAACCAGTGGAAATTTTTTTGTGGTTGACATTCACAAACAAGTCTGGTCATATATTAATTTGTATATATAATATAAAGTATTCAAACAAATTACTAATATGATCCATTCTGCTATATTTTCAAACAGAAATAATTTTCCTTCTTCTGTTTATAGCCACACACAATTCTGCAATTGATAAGTCCTTGGTGAGAATGAGGACACCTGTAGCGAATAATGAGATAAAATCGCAGTATATCAAGCAATAAAATAAAACATTTTAAAGAAGAATAAAGACAGCTTATGCTTAGTTTCCATATGAAGTAGCAAATTTAAAAACTTATATAAAAGTGATTCCAACCTTTTAGGGATAATAGCCCTCTTCTGATAGCTTTTATCACTCATGACCCCCTGTTCCTCAGTTAAAAAAATGCAAGCCATACACACATTCCACAAATTCTAGGATATTTCGCCTAACTTTGGTGAAGACAAAGACAGCTTAAGTGTCAACCCATTTTGGTTTCGAGAGATATTAAAATAAATTGAAATATACTATTCTGTGTCTATCGATATCTGCGGGTCAGATGGCCAATCAACCGACTACCAAGTTACGAATTCACAAAGCACAAGAGGTATTGAGAAAGTTATTTTGATTGATAGATTCCAAATCCCATTATGATCAAACACTTCATGCACCAAACAGCGAAAACATTACTTGAAATAACTCTATTAGGCAATGAAACAGAGAATGTGGATTTTCTCATAAAGAAAGATAATTATATGCAAACGAAATTGTATTGAAATCGAGGCGCAGTTCTTACCACTTCATGGCAGCTCCTGCCACGAACGTACCACGCCGTCTCCTGCCATGGTTTTATGGCGCTATTACCGGTATATTCACAAATTCATGTACCATATTTTAGTTTATCATGCGAAATTATATCTACTTAAACCCTAACCCTAACCCCAAATCCATCCAAACTGTATCCATAAGAAAAACATTCCAACTCACCAAATATTTATCACCATCAGCAGATTAGGGGCAGCCCTGCTATTACAGCCGACCTGCCGTGGTTACGGCAGTAAAATTGGTGGTATTCGATTTGCTGCCGTAACCACGGCAGCTCGCTATTGGTTTGTGGCAGCTAAAAAGTCAGTCGCCGTGGGTTTGGTCTTAGTGGCCGTGGTTTGGAAATCCCGCCATGGTTTTGCGGCAGCTGTAGACGCCACAAAATACTTGAAACTGCACTTGTTGAAATCAAATTTGCATTTGGTCTTGTGGTGCCCTTTCAACTGCTCTGTGAATCCCTTAGGGGGCCAATGACCCTCAGTTGGGAACCGCTGGTATATAACCAAGTAAAGTTGGAAATACATAATTTAGTAAAGGATTTCATTAGAGAGACATTTCCCATGTTGAAATTGTAGTTTGCATCAACCTACCAAATTCAAGCAGTTTATTTTTGCAATCAAGTTTATCCAGATATTTTATTCATTCAGAATACCAAAAAAATATATGAACAAACACAAGCTTGTAGTTTATGCTTGTCAATAGGCAGCTTCAAAAGCATGGTTTGGTGGTTCAGTAGGTACCTTCCTGACTAAAGTATTTCAGACTTTTACTTACAGACTTATCAGTGTCTCAATAACGGTGCTGGCCCATACCGGTACCGGGATATTCTATGAAAATTAGCAAGCTAATTCCATTCATCTGAAATTTTCTGTCCCAAGCAATAACCACGCAGGCCTGAATTTTTCATTCATAGTTCTGTACTTCGGTGGTTTGATATCTAACGTTACGGTACCGTAAAATCGTACACAGCCAGACAACGGGAGAGCAGCTCAAATACCCATTCTTCTTTGAGAATTCTTCAAGTAGCAAAGCATGGCTTCAATATTTACAGCAAAACAACGGCAAATTTTTAAGAACAGCAGACCGACAACCGACAGAAAGACATACAGACGAGCAGGTAATGGTAGAGTCGCTGATGATCTCTTTGTTTAATGACGTCACATAGTCTTTCTTCCAAAGAGGAATGTGACGAAGCAAGTTGGAAATTCTGTGCTTTTCACTTGGCCTGTTCTACTTAAAAAATTCGGAATAGCTTATCGTATTCTGATTGGTACACTAACTAATATAAAGTTGTTAAACAACTTTCAATCACGTTTCGTGTACTAACCGCGTTCGTAGAGGTACGACGAATGGCTATCCGGATGCAGTGGATGATACCCATTGCGTTTTTCTGTGGCGATTAGCGCCTCAGCTGGAGTTCTTCTTGACTGTTTGAATTGTTGTCTTGCCACTTCTGCGTTCTTCCCTACTTTTCTTTGTTCCTACAGGAGCGAAGATAAAACCTATCGTAGTTTTTCGATTGCTCCATATTCACACTCAGATTCAGATTTACTTTCATCGTGAAAGAATCAATATGAAGCGAATAAAAGTCTGTGAAAATCGCTTCATCTGCATATTTTCGTCGCCTCGACGCGCTTTCACGCATGTATACTTTTTTTGTTATTGTCACATAGTGTATTTCATGTATGGTTGTAAAGTAAACTTTTGATTACTAATTACAGACATTTTTTCACCAAGCGAAATTTATTACCCTTTACATTTACACATTTCAATATTGTTATAATCGGTACAACTGCTTTTTCTGAATCGATTTCATCGTGATTTACCGGTGTAACCTGTTCTAACATATAATAGTCCGGCAGAATAGGGCCTTAACATCGTTTTGGGACATAAAGTTTTTTTTATTGTTTAGATATAATGTATAAGACATATATAATGATACCCAGGTGGGTGTGGAGTATATAATGTTGAGCAATTTTTTTTAAGTGGATTTAAAGTATTCGGTCCAAGATGACGCACATCCTGAACCCCAACCTGGTAAACATACAATGTTCAGGTTGTGCGCCATCTTGGTACAAATACTTCAGGAGCGCCTTTTTGTTAAAAACAATTATTTCATAACTACATGGTTTAGTTTTGCATACATAGTAACATTGAATCTCCTTACAATGTCAGAAATTCAATTTTAGTACAATAAATGGTAGTTTACTTCACAAGCCAAGATCCATCGACAGCATCTAGCCACTTTCTATTGCGCTCTTCAAACTACATTTGCGTTGCCGCGCGCATTTCGTTTTCCTAGTTTAAGCTTAGGGACTTGGGAAATATTTTATTAGTTGAATTGGATTGGAATATTTGAACTCGTTTTTCACTCCGAACAAGGCCATGTAAAACCGTCCACTGGTATCTAAAGATGTGTAACGTGTTTTCTTTTGGAAGAACCGCAACCGTTCAGTGCTGCATTGACTTTGGCAAAATTAATATACAGTATCCTTGTGGAGATAGAAGGTATGCGTATGCGAAACCGAGATGTGCACCTGTTATGCCAACATAGTTGAGTCAAACGTTTTGAATACTAATACATTACACGCATTTTCCTGCGTGCTTCGGTTGTAAGTAGTAACGCGCACATTTTTGCGCACATGCATCAAATTCCACTTGATTATTGAGCTATAGGTTCTTGACGAGCTTTTGTGTATGATTTAATTCCATAGAATTTGTATGCTGTTCTAAAGAATACTAGTTTCAGGTTTTTTTCATTCTCTTAAACCGCGTGTTGAAAGTGAGTTTTGTAATATTGCGTGTTGGTTTCCAACATTTTTAAATCGGTGATGCCAGTAAATCTTTAATACAAAAAGATCAGTAACATCTGCAATAAAACAGCAGTACCCACTCAAATGACAGCTGGGGGATGGATACTCTTAGTATCTGCTCCATCGCGTGCCTCTTACAGTCTTACCAGTTTACATGCGTGTCAATCGGTATCTAAGCTCAGCCAGAGACAAAAAGTTTCGGACTGCAGTTGGCGTGACGAAATGTTTTTAAATATATATTCAACAATAAGATTATTTGATTGCATACTACTGAAAGTTCCGCCTTATATGTCTTTTCCCATTGCACTATTCCTTTACTGATATTCGATAATATGACGCTCATCTGGCATAGTTCTTAAAGTGTGTAGATGAGTATAATCTTTTCCACGCTGTTCAGATGGGAATGCACGAATATATATAAGACATTGCTAATATTGGTTTGCAATGCGATGAAATCCCATCTTGGCATTTCTGCCTCTCGCAATCGCTGTGTATACTTATCGGGGAAGTTCTGTGGCGTGGTTATCAAATGAAAAAAAAAACATGGGTGTATTTTTTCTACTTCTCTACTACCATCGAACCTCGACATTTTGTGAAAACTTTTTTCCATGCAACCTTTTTTAAAACATCCCTAACAACCACAATTAATTCTGTTATTAAACTTCCGAAACAAACACACAAAATCATCAACAGATGCATATCACCAAGTATTGCGATATTGCTGAATTAATCTTTATTTTACCATTTTTCATGTAATTCTTTTTGGTAAACCTGTTATCTATCGTAAATACAGCACATTTGACAATGCTGTAGTGTGACTATTTTGGCCTCACATTTTTGCTATTTGTAGTTTGAGCTCTTGGGGCTCTGTCAAACAAAGGTACATACAAAATATTGGTTGTAAATTGCAAAACATGATCATGTTGTTGGAATAACTTGGCGTTTTACCACCCGTATATCATTCATTGTTGAGAATATTAATAAAATCATAAAATTTAAAAATCCGTTTTCGTGAAATTTTTGTTGTAGCTGAATTCCAGGGACAGCATGACAACAGGCAAGAGAAGCACGGTCGCCTCTTTCATCCTTGGAGGCCGCCGATCGGTTATTTGGGAGCACGAACAAACAGATGGAAATGCAAATATATATTATATAATAACAATGTATTTTTATAGAAGAGAAGAAGCAAAAGTGTTGAGAGTCTTTGGTAGTTTGAAAAGCATTGGCATGGAACATAAGAATGAACTACATTCTTTCTCAGGGATATACTATAAAATGTAGCAATTTTCTCATTCTTGTTCTCGTGATATCATTATCTTTCACTGCGTCGTCGTGATTATCCCGCTGCATAACAATTCTCGCTAACAAATAATTGTTCTCCACCGGGCGTATATCCACTTGAACCACTGGCGACTGCATTAGCAGACTTGTATTGTTAATTGCAACCAAAACGGGTATTTTGAAATAGTACTCTTTATTTTACGCGTATGTTTCGACAGTATTTCCATATACTGTATATGGGTCGCGACCCAAAGCTGGGCTCAACAAATACCTAAAAGTTATTGATTTTATTTCCTAGTAAATTTGGTGCTTGCGTAGTTTGTGCACCAAGATTGCGCACAACCTGAACATAGTATTGTGACAGGTTATGGTTCAGGTTGTGCGTCATTATAATGCACATGTTTGACGAAAAACACTAATACAAATATCTCAATAAATATCTAAAAGTTATTGATTTTATATCCTAGTAAATTTGGTGCTTGCGTAGTTTGTGCACCAAGATTGCGCACAACCTAAACATATTATTGTAACAGGTTATGGTTCTGGTTGTGCGTCATTATGATGCACAGGTTCGACGAAAAACACTAATACAAATATCGAGCCGTAAAAAAAATTGCTCAAGGCTGCAAACTGCACACCCATGTAGAAATGATGGGCAATGACCCCAGGATGAATAATCACTAATAAAAAAAACTTTATGTCTGAAATCAAACTTGGGCCAAAAATGTCCCCTTATCTGCCGGACTATAACAAGACAAATGTCTATATTGTAATAAATTGGATTCAGTCTAGTTACAACTTCCAACTGAAGCATGTTTTTCGTACGTAAATTGGTTGCAATATTCACGTATGAGA